ATTTGCTTGGGAGCGAAGAAGTGTGCAACCAAAGTCAAGTGAGTCTATCAATCGAGTGTAAACCATGATGTGACTGATAGTTTCAGAGTCTGAGCATGTGATAATCATAAATTTGAGCTATTAGTGTAGTGCTATACATAACTGCTAGCTGAAACAAGGTTTTGAAGTAGCGCGCTTTCGTCAGTGTCGCGTTCTACAAGTAGCACATCGGAAAATACCGCTTTGATACTCTCCGTTTTCCATTTTCACGTTCAACCGCCTTGAGCAATTTCGACAATGATGGCAGGAGTTGAGTTTCTGAACACGTTAGGAGGTCTTACATGCCCATCCCGAACTAATTTCGCGATGACTAGTGACCCAAGGCACCCAAAAGAGTTCAAGATATCAAGCATCTCTGCACTTTCGATAATATCAAAGATATGCGTCGAAATGATGGCGGCAATGATTGCCTGAAGGCTTGATTCATGTGAAGGCACTGAGGTCATGACTTCTTGAATGACATCGGGAAATACTGGAGAGTTCTAACTTTCAGTTGCCTATCGAGAGAACCTTTGGGCAGAGCCGCGATAAATACTTCCATGTTGTTGAGAGCAATTTTCTTAGTTTCTGTGTCCTTCTGTTGATCGCCTGGATCAGGCGGAGCGGTCTCAGGAACTCGATATTGAACAAGTGTGTGCTCATCATTATACTCCCGAAGGTAAAAGAATGAAAGAACACGTTCAAGAGCCGCTGGACTATCTTCCTGGACATCGATGGCTTTCGCAATAGTTTCCTGGGAAAATAAGTAACCGAAATAAATTAACCAAGGTTTCTGTCAATACCTTGAAACCGCCACAAATTGCGCTATAGAAGTAGCTTGACTGGGTGCAAGCAATAGCCTGATGGGCTTTGAAAATAACACCTCGAAAAATAATTTCCATGTCAAAGAACTGCTTCCGTAGGAACAATTCTCTCATTACCTCCTGAAAATCAGATGGCATCGACATGGCCCGGTTTTTGAAATTTTGTTGTTCTCTTGTGTCAAGAAGGAAAATAAAGAATTCAAGAGACCTGTATGTTTCAAAAGGCATATTGGATAACGTGACTATGACACGTAGACATACAATATAAATAGTCAGTTTATAGTTGAGTAGCAATGGTATAGTCTATGGATGCTTAGTGAGAAGGTTATAATAATTTTCATTTAAAAGATATAAATACGATATAACTCAACATTCAAGTATATAGTGTGGACGGAATTAATCCGCTCAGATAAGAACTCTACTATGCAGGTTGTCCAAATGGAAAGCAAATTCCGATTCCGAGATAGCCATGTAGATCATATTGCGGGGGAAAATGAGTAGGACAACCTTGTGTCTCTCTTCCTTTATATGAGCTTACCCTCCGAACATACCATATTCAATCTTATCACTCGACATGACTCTCAACTGGCAGACTCAAGCCCAAAAAGGCAAAGACATCTTGAATAACTCTATTCCGAAGCAATGGCTTCTCCCCGCCGACAGGCTACCGCCAGTCTCGCAGAAGAGTGTGGTTGACTTCCCCCAGCAAAGCGGATCGTTGAACGAGCGCGAGCTCGGTATCACTGACATGTCGGCCACGGCGCTGGTGAAGGAAATGGGAAATGGAGAACTGAGCGCAGAAGAAGTTGTGGTTGCGTTCTTGAAGAGGGCCGTGCTGGGCCATCAACTGGTGAGCTTAAGAGACTCCACCTTTGCAATTCCAGCGTTGACATACTTGTTAGCTCAATTTCGCAACAGAGTTTATGGCCGACGAGGCAATCGCTCGCGCCAAAGAGCATGATGAGTACTACAGACGCACAGGAAAATTGGTCGGGCCTCTGGTAAGCTCAAATACATGTTCAAATCTATAACGGCGATTTTCTAATGGAACGAGCACAGCATGGCATACCAATCAGCGTGAAAGAACACATATCCATGAAGAACCGAACATGTAACACGGGATACGTAGCTTGGTGAGTAGAAATCCACCATGAAAAACCACACTGCTGACAAGCAGAACAAGGGTCGACAAAGTCACCACGGAAGACGCCCTTCTCCTCCAGCTCCTATCCAAAGCCGGCGCCATTTTCCATGTTCGGACTAACCAGCCTCAGTCGTTGATGGTATGTCCACAAATTTAAGATTAGCGGTGTATCCCATAACTAACACTATCTAGCACCTGTGCTGCAGCAATAACATCACTGGCACAACCTTGAATCCACTCAACCGGACTCTAAGCCCAGGTGGGTCCTCCGGAGGCGAAGGGGCCTCAATGGGTTTCCGGTGCGCACCACTAGGGATTGGAAGTGATATCGGCGGATCGATTCGCTGCCCCGCTGCGTTTTGCGGTGTGTACGGCTTCCGTCCATCCTCACTGCGGAACCCTGGAACAGGGATTAAAGTCGCTGCTTCGGGCCAGGAGACAATCCGCGGTGTGGTGGGTCCGATGGCTAGTCGCTCGATTGAGGACCTAGAGCTGTTCCAGAGAGCTGCATTAGAGCAGGAGCCTTGGAATATTGAGACCTCGCTGATGCCTGTACCATGGAAGACGGTTACTCCGACGCGGGATATGACTGTGGCTATTATGTGGGATGATGGGTGCGCCGTGATCCAGATAATTGTTTGCTGTCAGTGTGCTAATTTCTTTCACAGCTGCGTCCGCCCGCATCCACCTATCACTCGCGCTTTGAGACATGCCAAGGAGAAGCTGCAGGCGGCAGGCGTGAGGGTCGTAGACTGGGAGCCGTATAAACACCAGCATGGCTGGGAAGTTATTGTGAGTTCTGAATCTGTTTTAGGCCCACATATGCCATAATTTTAACGTGACTCAGTCCGCTCTATACTACCCTGACGCTGCCAGCAAGCAACGCGAGCTTCTTGCCGAATCAGGCGAGCCAGCACGCCCACTCACCGAATGGGCTCTCTCTTACAGCCGAAGCACGCCTCTTTCTCATCCCGAGGCATGGGCCCTGCACGATCAGCGCGATATCTATAGGGACGAGTACCACGCTCTTCTCAATCAGCGTGGCGTTGATTTTATTCTCTCCCCAACATATCCCGGTGCCGCAGCAGTGATGGGCGAGTCGCAGTACTGGAATTATACTGCAATTTGGAACTTGGTAGACCTACCTTCTGTGGTATTCCCGTCTGGAATCACCGTGGATCCGAAGGTAGATGTGTTGACGGAGCAGGATAGGAAATACGTTCCCAGGGATGAGGTTGACGAGAGGGAGTGGCGCAAGTACCAGGATCCTGAGAGATATGAAGGCACGTCGGTGGGACTGCAAATTGCTGGGAGGCGATTCAAGGACGAGGAGACATTGGCGGCGGCCAAGGTTGTGGAGGAGATTGTTAAAGGAGAGAGTTGAGGGATTTGGGAATGGAGATAAATTACTTCAATTACATTTCTTTCTAGCATAGATTTACGCCTCGATATGTCTCTTCGTAGCAAAGACCATAGCAAGCGGCGTAGCGGTCTTCACTTTCTTCCCCTCAAAGGCCCTTTCCATCTCATCCCACAGTGGATTAATGTCCGACTCTGATACACGCGGTGTCGTCCAGGTAGATGCATAGCCCTTGAACCAGTCACAGTCCTGCTCATCCATCCAATCCGTATCCTCCTCCTCCCAAACAATCTCCTCGTCATCTTTAACCTGACTCTCACCAACTCGATCATTAATTCTAAAAGCATCAATACTCCCCCGAGTATTGACATACAGCCTCTTCACCCGCTGCCAATCCTCCACGGGGAACCCTAGAGCCTCAGTCCCAGAATTCAAGATCCTCAACGCATGATCAAGCATTGGATCATTGACCTCTCCTGCATAAAACGCACACACAGCCCCCCAAGCCTGCTGAGCCCTCTCATTTCCCACAATGCATGGATAATTATAATGCGTGATAACAAGCGTCCCACCCGGGCATAGCTCCCTCACAAACTCCCGAATCGCAAACTCTGGCCTCGTCCAGTGGATACACTCACACGCCATGATCAAGTCGACCGAGCCAGACTCCACAGAGCTCCTTTCGGCACTTTCCTTCAGGAACCGGAATCTGGATTCGGGAAGTCGGGATTCCTCGACGAGGAGTCTGCGAGCGAGCGCAGTGTACCCATCGTTCGGGTCTGAGACAATCACATTGTTGAAGTGGGGGGCAAGGCTTGATGAGACGATTCCGCAGCCGGCGCCGACGTCTTGGGCGAGGGACCAGGCGGAGTGGGGTTTTTGTGAGTGATAGGTGAAGACCTTTTCGAAGAAGGAGGATGGGTAAACTGGTCGGAATGTGAGATAGTCGGACCAGTTCACGCCTTGGTTGGCGTTGAAACCGTATTCTTTAGGGAGTGTGGTTTCGTTGGATGGCATTGTTGATATGGACATTTGAGAAATGATTGAAAGTCTGGGAGGCGATGATTTAATTGAGATACTAGGAGCAATGGGCAGTATTTATAGGTTATTCTGTCCTTGCGAACAGATATCATCTCTTCATTTGTCATTTTCGGGACAGAAGTACATAGAGGAACGAGAGTGTCTTGCAAGACCCACTGAAGGATCGGAACTGCTGGACCGAACTGCATCTGTTAGTTAAAATTTGGGAATATGGACATCTTTCTCCAATCATAGAGGTCCTGATGGAGAACTTCGATAAGATCTCGGAGAACATCGGTCAAGTCGATCTCGGATTTCTTTTCATGTACGCCTTATCACATCTCTAGATCTATCACATGGTTATTTGACATACTCTATGCCTTTTCTGCTTGATATTCATAAGGATTTATTTCTTGTCTAGAATGCAGCTATGAGTTCTTCTACTGACTCTTAACTCCCTCGAGCTTTACTAAACGGTGGGGCTAGTGCAGTCCTGCAGTTACCCCTGTCGATGATCTTCAATAGCGCCGTTAATGATTTACTAAGACTTTTGCGAACATCAAACAATGAATCAATAGACATGTTCTTTCTATTTTTCTATATACTTTATATATGCAAGGAAAATTCCAACATCTCAGGCCAACTCGGCTCGCAAATCCTGCAGTGACTTAATCTGACCACCATCCTCCCCAAAATTCCCAACATCCAGCCATTTCTCCATAGCAGTCTTCAGTGAAGCATCCCACTCATCTCTCAAAATAGAATACCAAGCCGTATCCCTATTCCTTCCCTTGACAATCATATGCTGTCGAAAGACACCCTCAAATGAGAATCCCAAGCGCAAAGCCGCCCGCCTTGAGGGCTCATTCAGCGAATGGCATTTCCACTCCAATCTCCTATACCCAAGATTATGGAAAGAATGTTGAGCGAGGAGATAGATCGCCTCTGTCGCGGCAGTCGTGCGCTGGAGCGCTGCCGAGTACATCACATTCCCGATTTCGATGCCCAGGTGGTCGGGAGTCATACGCATCAGAGAGAGATAGCCAATTGCCTTCCCAAAAGTGGGGAGAGAGTTGCGCTTGTCGATGATTGCGTAGAAGTAAGGATCTGTTGAAGTGGATTTCGATGCGATGCTGGCTTTGAAGGTTTCAGTGTTTGAGTATGGCCCGTCAAACATGTAGTCCCAGAGCGCTTCTCTAGGTGGTTCAAGTCCGCCAGTTAGAGCGAAGAGGTCATCGGCGTGCTTTGGAGCGAGTTTCTCGAGGAGAATTGTTCGCCCTTGGATTTGTTGGCTCGTTGGTAGTAGAGCCGGGGTGAAGGGGACTAGTGGGCCTTTTGGGCGTAGTAATGCCATATTTGGGATTTCTTTTGTTTGAGTTACTGGTAATTGAGGGCAAGGGGAGATGGGGCATTTATATCGATTTTATTGTTTCTCTGAATACTATCAGCTCATGACTCACGCCCAAGTGTGATTTGTTGCAAATCCCGAGATCCCGTGACAGGGGTTCCCCGAGGACGTGATAGGTCGGTTATCCGAACTATAAGATTCAATGCTTCGAAAGACAACAGGGATTATTTGAGAATGAAAAAGAAAGTACATATTGGCTCGATAATGGGGTCAATGTCGTAAGAAAGCCCCGAAGATTGAAAAAAATTAGTTACATGTGAGCTATAAACAGTTCTATTTCCCTTTTAAAACAAACCTGTTTTGCCCCTCTTTTTGTATAGCAAGTACCATAATCCAATCAATTGAAATGCACCAAAACACATGACTATCCCACTGAACAACTGAATACCTAGGTAGTTCAAATCCTCACTCCCATCGGAGCCAATTGAAGCGAGTGCACCTGCTATTGGTGGCCCTAGAAGAGACGCAAAACTACTCAAGCTCTGCGCCATTCCAAGCCAAGTTCCAAGACTCTTGGGGTCAGGGCAGACGTGTGTGAACACGCTCGGTGGAAGAGGAATCAAAGCCCCGGAGATACAACCTGTGATTTGGGTCAAAATAGAGCACCGATGACGCAGGAAAAGGAACTTACCATAGAAGGCCGCAAAAAGAATAAACCGTACAAGTGTGTCTGCACTGATCCAACAAATACACAAAACGCCAGAGAGTACACCGCAAACGATCCAAGCAATCATCGACCCAAAGTAATGAGCGAACAAAGTTAAGACAACACGGCCAATAACCGAAGAAGCCTGGGAAATCATCAAGACATTAGATGCCATTGAGCGCGAGGTGCCCAGTTTTGTCTCCGCGTAAGTTGGAATATAATAGAAAGGCGTGATATAACCAAGGTAAAGGAAAAAATTTCCAATAGCGAAGCTCCAAAAAGGCAAATCTTTGAAAGCGCGCAAATCAATCAAGCTTCTGCGCTGGGTGGGCTTAACCTTCACTGAATGTCTGTCCGGTACCAAAAGCATAAGAGCAGCCGCGATAAAGAGCGCCAGCATCAGGAATGCGATAAGACGAACAGTCCAGGGAAATCCAACTTTCGATATAAGTTGGTTGAACATGATAGTGTAGACAATACCCCCGACAGGAGCACCACTACTCGAAACACCTAACGCAACAGCTCTTCTTGTTGTAAAAGAACGGCTGACCAATGCCATAGCGGGAACATAAAGCAATCCGAATCCGAGGCCCACGCAGACTCCCTGACTTAGGAACATGGCGTAGTACTCGTGTGCAAGACTGAGCATCATCATACCCATTACACCTAAAATACTTCCAATGATAATCATGGACTGATTGTAACCGAGATCGAAGAGTGGGCCGGATAGTAGACCGCCGACGATTAAGAGCCAGGATTGGACTGTTCCAATCCAGGCGATATCAGATGATGTTGATGTTGGGATGTAGCTGAGCGCATAGAAGCTTTGGAATGTTCCGAATGCAAGGTTTAGACCCCTAGAGAGATGTTAGTTTTGATATTCAATTATGATTCGGAAGGTAGTTGACAGACCAGACATTGAAGAATATAAAGAAAGCACCGAGAACTTGAAGACAGCCATGCACTTTACTTTTTACAGCAAAGGTAGAGGGTATTTCGGATGACTGATCATCTTCCGGAATATGTGCTAGATCTGTGATCTCAGGATCAACGGGTGCCGTACCTTTTTCTGAGAACATGTTTAACATTTAACGGCGATTAAGTTCGATAAATATTATCAAGACATAAAGCCAGAATTTGAAGAAATTAACAAAAAGTTGAGACCCCTCAAAAGGTATTAGTCAGTCACTATATTAGCCCTGTATGCGACACTGCCGTGTTTACCGATGGAGCGGGGTGTGTTTGGGGTAACCTATATCACGCATTTTGAAGCCTTACGATTCGGAGTCGATTATATATCAGATTTGGACGTTTGATTTTACTAATACGCGTCCTTACTATAGAAGTATCACGTTTATCAGGATTGAGTTGCGCCATCGTGAGTGAGATTGGGCCATATAGTAGCTGTAGTTTGCCTCGGCTAGAACCTACCGATAGTTTGTAATATGATGAGTAAACGTCAAATCGCATAAGTTTGCTATGATTATATTTGAGAGACATATTGACTGGGGTAGAGCTTGAATACTTCAGGAGATCCAAATTAAATTATGACAATGAAATCTAGCAATTGCTAAGAATGGCATCGCGGACAACGGAACCATTTCCGAAGGATCAGACCTATCAATTGATACTGAGACCTACGAGTTCTTAGAAGATTCCTAGTCAACTAGGCATATTACTCAAGGGGGCATTGCCTAATTTCATTGTTGTGACCTATGGAACCTATGGAACCTATGGAAACCCCCAATTCCAGATCAGTGACTAAAAACAAGAAACAACTTCATTTGGGAGGTCGATTCAAAGATCCACGCCTTTTTTTTTCACTCCGGACCAAGTACGGAGTAGCACGTTCCTCTCGCGGTCTCCCAAATTATGGCATCACAACCACTAACAGTGATCTAGATGTGCCTCAGAATGGGTCACGTTGACACGAATCAACTTTCATTTTGTTCACCACTACGATCAAAAGCTCTCATGATACTTCGCCGCTAAGTTTATTATAGTTCTGAGTTGAGTTTAATGTAGATTCCTCATATGCGAAACTGGTCTGACACTCTCGGGATTTCTCTGTAGTAATAAGACCACAGTCTTCCCCCTTTCCATAATTATTCATACTCTCCGATACAACAGGAATAATCTATGATATCATCTAATAGCGAGGAATGTCATCAGAAACTCACGTTTCAGAATGACCCATACCGAGGCAGTTAACCAACTGGCCAATTACGAAGAGACGTATGCTACCATAATAGTATAGTCAAATCGCATAAGACTTCGTGGAGGTCGACAATCCATAATGCAAGCGCCTAAAATAGTCAATCGATAACACGCAATTAGCCGGATTATTCTATGCTTATAGTAGTCCAGCACTCTCTCTTCTACTGGGGACTCCCAATAATGAAACTGCAGCACCACCCTATAAACCCAATATAATAAGGCCCTTAATAGTTAAAATTCCTTTTTCGCCCATTTAATTTATTTTCCGCCAAAAATAAACCTGTGAAACCCCAGCGCTTAGGATGTTCGACTTAGGGCATATTGATCTGCGGGCTCCCAACCAATCCGAACGATCAATTAACCGCCTTAAATGTAGCCCCAGTAGATGTCAAAGCTATTATTACTTATTCTATGAGCCTCAGTAAAATGGTTTTAGAAGTTAAAACCCTGTCTAAAATCAAATTAATATCTTACCCTTTTCCTACCCTCCCTTTTACTCCCTCAATTAATGAAGAAATGATTCGCGTCAGAGGTATCCTTCGCCTGCTCCTCTTCCAAGCAGTATTGCCCACTATAGTCCAATCTCGGCAATGTTACCTCACAAATGGCAAAGCAGCAGACTCAAGCTTCCAGCCCTGCTTCCCAGATCAAGATGACAGCCCCTGCTGTTCACTAGCCAAAAGCAACACAACCCCCAATGACATCTGCCTCTCTGGCGGAGTATGCTATATCCAAGATCCAAATTTCCGAGGCCTCCTACGGCAGGGTGCTTGCACCGACAAGACTTGGAAGAGCGGACAGTGTCCCGAACTCTGTGATACGGGTAAGTTAATATCACATATATTTTTTTCTCCATAATATACACCTTCAATAAAATACCGACCCTCACTTCCTTACCGATCAATCCTGACACATTATTCAAACAGTCTCCGACGCAACCCTCTACGTAATCCCCTGTCCCCTCCAAGGCCGCGGCTTCTGGTGCTGCAGCGTAAACGGTACAAACTGCTGCGACGACGCCGTGCGCCTAGACATGGGCCAGATGATCAACGTATCCGTGACATCACTCACATCAGAAATTTCCTCCTCATCGGGCTCATCTAAGTCCGCGCTCTCGTCGTCAGTATCCTCCGTCTCGCCATCCCCAAAAGCATCATCATCATCGCCTTCGTCGACCAACGCCAACACCGATACCGAAACAAATACAAAGACCAATCCTAAGGATACAACATGCACTCCTGGCTCAAACACCAGTGCCACATGTCCAGCTTCTAAAACAACAGTGATTAGCGCTGGACTCGGTGCTGGGTTGGGTGGGTGCCTTCTGATCGCTATTGTGACGATGGTCGTGCAGCGGCGGATCTACAAGAAGAATCTGCGGCAGAAGGAGGCGATGATTGATGAGATTGCTGCGGCGAGCTCGGCGCAACATTTGGGTTATCCCTATGCGGGGAGGGACAAGATTATGTTTCCGGCAGAGCTGGGGCCGCGGGATACGCGCATTCATGAGGTTGAGGGGAATGGGCTTAATGAGAAATGAGATAGTATATGTTGGGATTACACGGGATCCAGGTGGCAGTTTCTAATTAGGATATTGACGTGTTATACGAACTTTGTACATAGATGTTCAATTTTAGCGGTGTCTAGTGTTGGAACTAGAAGTTGCGTACGAGTATCGATGTAGAATAGGCTAGAGATAAAATCTCTGAAAAGAGTATGGGATATTAACTGGGGTTAAATCATTTTGTTAATCACCATCCAATGCATTAATTCCAACCCCCCACCTCCAAGAGAGCGCATAAGTACATCAATCAATACACATGTCCAGGTATCTGGAAAAAGAGAACGAGCATAAAAAGTAAAAAAAGAGCATTATCATAACAATATTTCCATCGTAAGAGAAAAAGGAAAGAGTAAACACCTGATATCTCAAAAATCAGAAGAACTCCACGAGACCTAGGGAAACCAAGCTAGAAGGCTACCCCAAATAAAAAAAAAGAATCACAAGCAAATCAGAAAGAAAAAAACAAAAATCAATCATCTCAATCATCTACTTGCGCCAGAACATAGCTTTTCCAACCGCCCTACCAGCAGTCCAGCGAGCCTCGGCAATTTTATCCTTAAAGGACGCACCGCCGCCGTAGCGCACAGGACGGGAGGTCGCCCCGGACTCAGAGGTAGCAGCAGCACTCGAACCACCGAAAGAGCTGGGAGCAAAGTTTGTCATATTGCCCGCATCGAACTTCGTCTTCCCTTCGACGATCTTCTGAACGACGTTCAAGATTGCGTAGGTGGTGGAGCCGATAGCACGAATAGCAGCGAGGACAGCGACAGACCACAAGATGATAGCGAGGTAGATGTTGGTACCACCGGAGTCAATACCGTAGATTTCGGAAATAGCCATACCGAGGACTACATTTGCGACCATCCAGATGGAGACCATGTAAGTACGGACGGCGCGGTAGTAGTCCTCCTGTAGCTGGGAGTCTGATGGTGGGGGCTCAGGGACCTCGAGGCGATCACGGAGGTTGCGGAGGGCCGCGTCATATCCGGAGTCAATGTCGAGTTGCTCGGAGGGCATTTCAATAACGACAGTTGAACCGTTGATGGTCTTTGCTGCGCCGAGATCGGTGTTGATCACGTTGTCACCTTTGGTTCCCCAGGTTACGTCGTGGGTGTTGCAGAACGCGTAGACCTGGAGAATGCAGATGTAGCTGGGCATGAGCAGGAAGTATTGAATCGAAGAGGTGAACATGTGCCACGGGTCCAGGTAGAGGAATGAGGTGTAAAAGTAGAGACCGACGGTTGACAACATGGAAAGGACGATGTTCATCATGAGGCCGTCCCCTACTTCCATGTCATCCTCTCCGACACCAGCACGTGCGAGTAATTCTTTGACCACCAAGTAGAGGGCGCAGAAGACAGTGTAGAACATGATAATGGCGTAAATAATGATACCAGAGAGATAGAGATTCTTGGCACTAAAGGGTAATGTCAGTTAAGTCGCAATGTATGATCAAGTATCGTGGACTCACCCTTGCGGTCGATTACCTAATGAGATAATGAACTGCAAACACATAACCAGAATACAAGCATAACGCAAAACGATGAAGATGTATTTGCCCATATTGTGACCGAACGGATCAAGCTTCGGATCAGTCAAAGAGCCAGCAATGAAGTAGAAAGCGAGGTAGAAATTGGCCTGTGGAAAGTCAGTGAACGCCTCCAAAGAAAAATAGCTAGTAAAACTCACAAGACCAAAGTAGGTAAACAGTAGATTAAGGAATTGATAAAAGAACTCGATATGAAGCAATATCTTCCGGGGAAGAGTATGATCCGTCTTCCAGATCTGCTTGGCATTGAAAATCGAGTACACAGCGGCGAAGAAAGCACCATTCAGCCATCTTCGGCGCTGGGAGATGAACTCAGGAACCGTGTCCGGGACATCAGTCTCTCCAACGGCGTTCTTGACGAACTTCAACACCCATCTCTCTTCCCGCTTGGCAACCAATTCCCAGCAAAGAATACGATCTTCAGCCAGGTACATATTGGCAGTGAAAACGTCTGCATCTTGACCGTGAAGTGTTTCACCCTTGAAATATTGGTTGAGGGGGCCATGGCCATCTGCGTCATTTTGCAGGGCAAAGAATCGATAAGCACTAAGCGCACCTGGCAACACCGTGATATAACCGAAGACCGATTCTAGTGGCTTGTCCAGAATGTTGGACATCTTGTATTCAAAATTTTGACTCGCCACAAGAGGGTTGAGCAAACCGAGCATGTTCTTACCCTTGGCAGCCTTGATCTCACCAGCTGCACCAGCAACATTGGAGTCCTGATCGAATGCCTTCCACAGGTGGTAGAGCGCCATTGGCTCTGGTCGGGTTCCAACATCGAGCAAAATACAGATATTGGGTTGAAGGGCACGACCGAAAGCATTGAAGAACCATCGATGGGAGTTCAGCTTCTTCTTGTTATGTTCCTTCAAACAGAAGATAACCTGACACGGGACAATTCCCTTCTCAGCACCCTTGAATTTGAGATCATCGTCAAGCGAGACCTGCGTGGTGTACTCGTACACATGTGCCTGAACTTCCTTTTGGTTGACAATATTCTTCGCAATACCCTCCTGGTACACACCCAGGGCGGCCAATGCGTTGAGGGTACGCGGATGGACCTTCTTACGTCCATCGGCGACAATGCAAACAACGATCTTCTTCCATCCATCACGGCCCCATGTACGCGACTTAGTCCGCGAGCAGAAGTGGCTGATATTCTGCATCACACCGTGCATAGTACGAGTGAAACCAATCTCGTCTTCATTGTACATGGTAATACAAATAAACAGCTCTGTCTCTCGAGTCGTGGTACCAATCTGCTGGCGAAGCTTATATCCCCGTTCGCCGTAATCGTCCGGATCGGATGTGACAGCGGTGTATCGCATGTGTGTGAACTCGCGCTCGTCACGGCGAGGCAAAAAGCTGTGGAGAATAGTGGGAATCTTGCACTCCAAAATAAGCTCACCGTTGACCAGCTGAACTTCCTTTTTGGCGACCTGCTTGGATCGGACACCACGACGGCCCTGCTTGTCGGGTGCTGGGCCATAATGGAGGTTGGGATCCATCATGTGCGATTCGTCGTTATCTTCATCATCGAGGTCGACTTTTGACATGCCATCTTTCTCGTCACCCAACATTGTCGACTCGCTCATGAATGATCGGACGCTACCGCGCGATGTGTGGTGAATTGTGCGGCCGTCGCCGCCGAATGGATCTTCACCATGGGCGTCACCAATATCAATGCTGGTATCCACTGTTGACTTTGGTCCGGAGAACAAAGGCGCAGGAGGCAATGGTCGACGGGGACTACCCCCATATCTTGAGCTGGGTGTACCGGGCCGCGGGCTACCGTTTAGATCGGCCCGTTCATATCCAACACTTGACACGGACGGTGGCCGGATGTGTGATGGGCTCCATGGGCGAATTGGCGATCCTGTTCGTGCCGGAATAGATGGGTAGATAGAAGTGTCCGCGAGATTCCCTGTGGGAGGCGGGAAACTGGGCCCACTTGCCAAGCTGGATGGTGGACGCGAAGGCGAAGAGACACTGGGCACCTCGTAATAATGGTCATAGCTTCGATCTTGTCCGGTCCTAGAATGACGCGACCTAATGTTAGACCTTGGTCTTGGACGACGTTCCATTTCGAGTCGAAGTTGGCAGGAAGAGGGCCAATGTGGAGATGGAGTGATGGATGAAACGATAAACAAATGCACTGGAGTGACAAATGTTCAATGTTTACAAGGGGGGTGATCGACCAAGCAGCAGGAAGGAGTTGGCTCCAGCCAAGTAGCAATGCCTACTGGCAATTGCCCAAGGCACAAGCGTTCTCCCAGCCTCTCCATCATGTCAATGAAGGAGTTAGAGCCGTTGGTGCACGTGGCTCCGTCGCGAGGGAAACCACTGGAATTTGAAAATGGATAAGATGACATTGGAGGCAGTTGGGGAATACATACGGAGTGTGATGATAATCCGGGTCATAATGGGAAGGCGAAGGAGCCCTGTGACTAACTAAGTCGTCGGCGCCATCACCGCTGGGCAACAAGCGCATCGTTCCTCCATTGAGACGCGAGGCATTGGTTGGAGAATCGGGATCGGACAGATAGGAAGCCGAGTCGTGGTTGAGGTATGCGGGCGGCGCGTCGCCGTAATTGGATGGCGGATGACGGTTCATGATAGAACTTGGAATGTGGTGCCTTTTTTTGTCAATTCACTGCCTCATAGTATGGTACCTGAGGTGGGTATCGATGAGACGATGAGAATCTATCCTCGTCTCTCGAAGATAAGACAGAGCGGGCGTGGACCTGTCAGGTTCGACAGTAGAGGAATGGAGGAATGTAGGTACAATATCAATATTGATGCTCGACACACAAGCAAGATGAAAAATACGAAACAATGAAAAGGATAAGAGGAATCGATTAGGCAGACAAGTCCATCCCGTTCATATCCGTCGTGCATCAACAAGGTGGAGGTGCAGCTTGTTGTCAGGGCAACGCGCGACTTGGATGTCATCAGCACGGGGTAAAAAAAATCTTGGAAACAATAATCAGACGGTTATTAAAAATAGAATGGCATTTTCTGTTTCATTTTATTCCTTTCGCCAATATTAAATTGTCAAGTTATTCAAATATTCAATATGTCTTCAATACCCCCAGTCCTAAGTGGGTCGATGCATTTTCACAGTGCATTGAAGACTACATTATTCCATCACAAAGAAAAGTGCATAATTCTTCCAAAACAAGACTGGCCTTGCAGATCTCCCCAACTTTCATACTTTTATTCTCGTTTCTCGTTCTCGGGCCATCGTCCAGTCCGATCCTAAAAGTAATCTCCGACTGCTTACATTAGGCTGATCATAGCAGTGGGTCTCAAATGCTGGCATGACGACACGCTCACACCCCCTCGTTGAGCAGTGGCTCTCTCTCCCGGTCAACCGACTCAGGGTGCGCAACGCGACGGAAGAGACTGTCACGACCAGTGTACTTAGTCGTAGAGATGTAAAGAGAGACGGCCAAGAACACGGCAAAGACGGTAAAGGCAAAGATCCACTGCAGGGCAATGATCTTGATGGCAACTTGTCTGAGGGCAAGTGCTGGGAGTATATATATCAGTAAAGCATTCGACGAAGTGATAATAAAAGGAAGAACTTACACAGCGTCAACCAACTCAAACAATATCCAAGGATATAATCCTCCCGGAGGACAATATCAAACAGTCCAATTGCGAGGATAACCCAGATAAAGATATTAGCAACAATACGGCCAGGCAAGTTGTGGCTGTGGACAGCGACCGCGCCGTTCCAGAACAGCGCAGTCAGTGTCCAGGCATAGGGGCCGGCGACGGCGGGTAGGTGCACAAAAGCCGGTAGACCGCGGTGGCGCCAGTAGGTGACTGTCTGGTTGATTAAGTGGGCGATGAGGATAATCTCTGCGCCCCAGAAGTGGTTGCGGGTCCAGAGGAGGATCCAAGCGGCGAGGAAGAGGTTATTCAGGATGAAGTGGGTGGCAACGTTGGCAGCTGCCGTGACGAGGACATTGTTCTTGGAAAAGAGGTGCCAGACATAGCTGAGCTGAGAGAGGAGGAGGAAGATCCTAGACGGGTGGTTAGATGAATGTTCCAAAGCATACTCATGTCCAATATACGCATAAGTGTGCTAGGTTGCACTTACCAGAAAACACCTGTCACAGTAGTGTTCTGACTGAATGGAGTATTATGCTTATTAGCCTGTTTCCAGATCTTCTTGCTCTTCTTGGTATCGTCGGGCGAGTGAATGGAGTAGTAGATGCCAACCACCACGACCAAGGCCCAGGTGAGGGGTACAAGGACTCGATAGGTATTCAGCGAATTGGCGCTGTGAGTTTCGCGTCTCGCGAATGGGTTGAATGATGCCATGCTAGATTTACTAAAGCTGAAGCTGAGTATTAATATAAAGAAGGAACTGAGCTACGAAGGGGATCTTATAAGGGATTCCGCGCATAAGGTCATCAGACCATTTTAACCTTGGAACCTTGGAAGAACAGGATATGATGCAGATGTGATGACATCAACGCTTTTATCTGTATCGCTATTTTACATCCATCCATGGATATATGTACTCCGTATACATATATGTAGGGTTACTTGTAATTACTTGTAACTCGAAATCTTGATAGATTATAATCTTTATTCATATTTTGACTAGAAATACTTGTGTGAAAGGACTACTCAAAGTGAGAAACTATAATCGTAACTTCTGCCAAGCGTAGATCACCGTGCACAGTCATATTACAAAGATCAACCTTGTAAATGTATTTAGAAATACAGGTATGGGAAAGCTACATAACTCGAAAAACACTCCATTTATGGGACCTTGAAAGAAAAGGAAAGGAAAGACCCACAGCCTTTGGCGCCGGGAGACAATTTGAGCCTAAAAATAACCTTGGAAATATTTAATAGTGCGAAACGCGCAAAGGACACCTTTTCTACTAATAAAGGTAGGAATACTAATATAACGCGGGGAAAGGGGGCCAGTGCTCAAGCCTCATGCCGGTAGAGTACATTATACACATACTAAGTATACTAACCATGCCAATGATATGATTATCTAGGGTATCAAAACCATGCAAAACACAAAAAAAAAAAAAACCACACCATATATAAAAGAAGGGAAAAAGGAAACTTACAATCCCCGCGCTTCCTTCACAGCCTCCAAAATCCTCCCATGAACCGAAGCCGGCCCAACAACCATGCCATAGCACCCAGCCAAAGTACGGCCGAGTGCACAATCAACTGGGTTCCCCTCAAGATCCGTAACGAGGCAACCCAATTCCTGCACAATGAGCATGCCACCCGCATGATCCCAGATCTTCGAGCGATAATCCGGACTCAGCGGCACCTTGACGAAAGCATTACACCCTCCCTGCACCGCAATAGCAACATAACGCATCTGAGCCGACCACAAATCCACCGGGTTCGGCCACGCACAGCCAAGACTCGCCGCCACACGGGCATGAGCCTCGAGATCCTGCGTCTTTGCTGCACGCGTATCAATGAACCGCACGTCGGAATCTCCAACTTGCGGGACATGTTCAAGCGGGCGTGCTGGCAACAAAGCGCCCGGACCCATAGGTCTGATGGTAGCACCCTGCCCGGCAACGGCTGAGATCATCTGGCCGAGACCATTGCGGTCGACGCGGTGTTCGGCGACAGGTCCTGACTCCAAGAGGTTGGGGCAGCCGAGGACGCCAATTTTTTGGATCCCATTTTCGACTAGTGAGAGGCAGACTGCGTACTGTTCACCGCGGATGAATGTTGCTGTTCCATCCACGGGGTCTAGAGTCCAGGTTCTGCTGGTGGGGGTGCAGGCGCCTTTCGCGCCGAGGTCGATCAGGTCGAGGAGCTCAGAGGGGGTGCGTGGGGTGTAAAGGAGGGCTTCGCTTTCTGGATCATCGAGATGGACGCTAGTTGCCAGGTCCCAGGTTCTTGCGAGGAGGTCTGGGTTTGAGCGGAGGGCTGTAGCGTCTTCTTCGCCGACGATGTCGTCGTCGGGAAAGGCGTTGTGGATGGCTGCGATTATTGAAGCTTGGGCAGCAAAGTCGGCAATTGTCACGGGCGATGAGTCGCTTTTGTCAAGGGCGCCTTTGTCGACGGCAGAGAGGAGCTCTTTTGTTAAGATTGCTGCTCGTTGCACGGCTAGGCTGGCGAGCTGGAGCTCTTTGGCGTAGGGGGCCGAGGAGGTCATGGTGGACGGTTTGAAGGGTGGTTTATGTGGAGAGGCTGGGATGATTGATCCCGAGGAGGGAGATTGGGCTTGACCGGATGTAGAAATAATAATTGGAAGCGACAAGTATGAAAACGGTGGGTTTAGTTTTCGGACAGGATAGAGGGGCATCACGTGCAAAACACCGGTGAGTATCGCTACGTCATATCTAGATCTAGCCCTATACAAGGCACAGAATTAGAGACCTTTCTTCTCACTTCGCGTTTCTAATAATCTCACTACACCCACGTAGGCTTCAAATCTACTGCGTAGGGCTTTGTTTAGGAGGTAATACATATGAGTATATTGGGTTAAAAGGTGTTATCTTGGTACAGGCTATAAGCGCAGAATCAGAGAATTATGGAATCATGGGATTTTGTTTACTCTAGGTTTATTCAATAAGAAAAATGGATAAAGATATCAAAGTTGAGATCACAAGTATCACCATCTATAGCCCAATTTCATGAATTCCTAAACGCTTTTATCTAGATCGATACCCTGTATTTCGACTACGATTCACATGGCCCCGACACAGCCTGAGTGCTCAGGCTGGGGCATAGTATACGTTGTTGTGCTGGAATTACGGAGGTAAAAAAGAATGATTGTGGATTACTAAGATATAGAGTGCAACAATTCGTAATCATTCAATTGAGGGTATGTAGGGTATAAGCCTCCAAGACCGAAAAAATAAAACAGCATCAGGTTGAACCTCAATGTACTCTTAACGAGGGAACCCAGCTCAGAGGTATATCACATAAAACGCCGAACCATCATATAACCCAAGAAAAAATCAGAAGGGAGCAAAAGCCAGCTCGTAAGCAAAAGCCAAGCTCATCTTCGCATGCTGTAGCATATGATCGAAGCTCAAATACTCGATCTTGTCCTCGGTGGTGTGGATTCTCTTATCGGAGTTCTCAAACCGAGACTCGATCACAAATGCCGAGGGATATCCGTACCGACTAGCAGAAGCATGATCAGAGCATGCGTAGCCACACTTTGTCTCGACATAAGGCACATCGCAGTAGGTAGTGATCACTTCCTTGATAAACGCAGTAAGGCCCGGATCGACGTAATCGACAATAACACCCACAGACTCCTTCTCGCCGGCATCCAGAGTACCCTGAACATACCCAGTCATGTCCTGCTGGAGCATGGCCTTGACGTTCCGCTGGTTCTTCTTATACTTAGCATAGACAGCCTGCGATCCGAGCAAACCACCCTCCTCAGCAGAGTACCAGTGGAACTCGATGGTGTTGCGGGCCTTTCCGTGGGCGATAGTCTCCGACCGCAGCAGGGCGCGAAGAGCTTCGAGGATAGTAACTGTTCCACTGCCGTCATCATCCGCACCTGGAGCAGCCAGGATCGAAGGCAGGAATAGGTTGATGCTGTCCTGGTGGGAACCGAGGACGACGGTATTATCCGTCTGGCCGGGAATGCGGGCGATAATACTAAACTGACCCCAGGGATGAGCGAAGCGCTCGACAGTTGCACCGTGGTCGCTGGCGCCGGACTCATGCACTGCGGCAGTCACTTGATCGAACAGCCAGGTTGCTGACTCGATTCCCGTTTGCGACTTGTAGTAGCGCGTGTGGAAGGATGTGAAGTGTTCCAGGTTGCTTCGCATGTTACTCTTGTCGAGGGTTTCGGACAAAGGCAGAATCTCGTGCGAGTGCTCCATCGCCCCTGGGTAGTGAACGACCCGTGTGGTGTGGAGGGTTCCGTAGGAGCCTGATTGGTATTCCTCGGTGACATCGATGAAGTTCATTCCATCCTTGGTGGAGCATTAGTACTAGTCATATAATTCGAGTTGGAACTTTTACCAGCTTGAGCGACCATTTTTCTTCTTCGGTTACCCATCTGGTCCGGTATGGGGCCAGTTCGATCAGAGACTTGGACTGCGGGTTCTGAACAATCGAAGGCGCTAGAGGTTGTTGTTCTGGGTTGACCATGGCCATGGCAGTTGCCGTTGCGCTCAGCGCAAGAGTGAGGAACTTCATGATGAAAATAATGATAAAAAAGAATAAGCAGAATAAGGAACTAAAGAGGGTCTCAGCTTTCTTTTAAAAGCTCCAGGTCGCGCGCCCTGCGCCAAGCCATTTTTGGACCCCGCGCGCTAAAACACCGAGGCTCTGTATTATTAGAACGGGAGCCTAAGGACCTTCCGGTCTATCCGAATTACAGAGTATGAACTATTGAACTCTCTGGATTAACAAATAGGCTATATCATATTCAAGACTCAAATCCACCAAAGGCATGAATTGGTGAATCTGGGGATATCGAAGGTGGAGAATGGAGAATGTGAATAAAACTCCACCGACTGCCCTGCGGAGATAAGGCTCATATCACTTTAATAGTATACGGAGTCCGCTGGTCAGCCTTGAGCTAGTGTACTTCGTATAGTACTCCGTACAGCCTCAATATTCTGCTCCACCTGGTTCTCTGCCAATTCCCAATTCCCAAATAGGAATATAGGGCTAGGGCTATCAGATACCCACTTTCCACCAATCAGCGTCCAGCGAGTTGTCCCGTGCAGACAACTTATCTCTCCCCCTGGGTCGTTATCTTGCCCTTTCCTATCCTATCCTTATCCCTCTCGCTCCCTAGTATTGCCTTACTTAGATCGTACATTATGGCTATTCATCCACGTCTGCACCCAGAGGGTTCGCAGGGGCACCTGTCTCCCCAACAAGCCTTAGCCATCTCTGCATGGACAGAGCAACATGCAGCAGCAGCCTTGCAGGACATGACTCTATCGGACTCAGCCCCTGCAGCGAGGACGTCTACACCCACCCCGATGCGCTCAGGTCTGCGCGGAGCCACCGTTTCACTGTCGATTCCTCTCGATGACGAAGCGATCCCATCTCAACGAGTCAAGGTCGAGTCCCGCCCTCCGACAGTCAACTTTCGACGTCGGGAGCCTCTGCGCCGGGATGGCCTCAAGACCCGAGAGGCTCTGCTCAAGGGTAAAGACGGCAGCCGTCGAAGACAGCGCTGGGAGAACGGTACGTATATAGACTAGATAGGTCGCGATGGATGCCGACTCTGTACCTTTTTTGGCTTTGGCGCAGGTTTATCAGGCAACTGCTGACCAGACATTAAGATCGTCTGTTGCACAACCCCTGGGCGGAACCGCCGTCTTCGAAGGACTGGGATGTCCAACCTACCTATCCTCGGCATGACCCGATGCCTTATTATCTTGCGCCCCTGTGGGACGTTCACTATTCCCATGTGGCGGATCAACAGTCGGCTTTGAAGGCTGCTGAGAGAGCTAATGAGAAACATCACATCCCGAAGGAACTGAGGTCAAAGCTGAAGCATGCGCGTGCTGCGCATGGCATGCTCCGAGATCTGGAAGATGAGGTCCGTACTTTTATTCAAAAGTGGAATGAGAGGGAGCTTCTGCTTGAGAAAGAGGGGTTGCGGGATGCCCCTGAGAACTTGGCCAGTGATGACTCGGAAGATGAGATTGTATTTGTCGGTCGTAATGGGCAGATGCACGACTCTCCCGAGCGAAAGGAGAGACTCCGCCTGCTCCGAGAGGAGATCAGTTCTCACAGTGAGCGGGAAGGTGAGAAGATGGTGCTTGAGACTCTAGCTGATGATCGTGCCGCTGGATTTGGGTATGTTTTAAGCCTTCCCCCCATCGTGATGCCAAAATTGACCAGTCTACTAACACTTCACAGTCGCTGGTTGGTCCACTCCATTGCATCCTACTATGGGCTGCACACTTGGTCCGTCACAGTTGAGGACCGGCGAGAAGCCTATGTGGGCTTCCGATCTCCGGTCCCAGGAAGCCGTACCGGGCTTGTTTCCCACCCAGCTTGCCATTCTGAAACCTTGATCAAGCCCGGGGAGGAGCTTCCTCGGCCTCTCTATGCGCAGGTGTAGACTGCTGTATTCTTGTTTCTTTCTCTGTCTTCCAGATTGAACTTCTGTTTTGGCTTCCATTGATCTGGGCTTCAAGGATATTGTAATCACCTCGGCATGAACCCGGACGTGGACTCTCGGCCACAGGTATATAGATCTTATTGGACATATTTTCTCGGTCGCAATTCAGGCCAAGGGATATTTTCTCGTAGCATTGACGCAATGTTGATCAATTGTCGACGCGACTATGTTTAGTGGGGACTATGAGTTCATCGTGTTTATATTTGCTCAATCAGATCAGAGTGAAGAATTTGAGATCATAGAACCCCCCTTCTTGCGATGTACATAAATCTCAGTCTGTGCGCTAAGACTAGCCGATCATGTCGTCATGTGGTAGACACCGTTAATAAACATTAGCTCGTACGATCGGAATGATATAAACTCTTTAATTGTCTAGGGCGAACTGTCCAGAATCACGGATTCTTATGGCATGATATTTCGACTCCCGAGGTCCGTATAGACTGTTATATATAATCTCGGTTATTACTGTCTCCACCACACAACCTGGAACAATCGGAACGGACCGCGGGGCCCACGGTTTCCAAGGTTCTCATGACGTCTAATGTTACATATATAAAAGGAATGTACTATAACATATAGCACGAATATTAGATTCCCAAGTGTTTGGACCCTAAAGGGTCTGAACCCTAAGTCAATGGACTACAACATACGAAGTACAGGGAGTCTCGTGTCCAGACCAATTCGATGCAGGCCCCCGCAATCTCACTGGTTCTCGTGTCGGGAAAGAAAAAGCAAAAGAAATGAAGCCACGAATGAAGACGAAACACAGTGGCCCAGCTAATCCTCCACCTGATTATGGGAGCCATCGTACAGCACATAGTGCGCTAAAGGAATTCTACCATCCCTTATAGGTAGATTCCATTCACTCATAGCCTAGATGTGAGGCTGGCTCTCGTTTCTCTCTTTTTCTCTTTGTGCCACGCCCTAGGATAATTAGGTGCAACTCTCGTAAATAAATCTTTTGATGTGTAGAACAAAGAGTCGGGTACCCAAATATGACGAGTTGAACATTCTCCATTTCCCCCCCCCCAAATGTTCTAAATACTTCCCACATTGTGACAGCCCAGTTTCCCACATTCTCTCTTGTTTCGATCCCTTTCACTATTTGGTTTTCCATCTTTGCATTCTCTCCAATTACCCCTATATTTTATTCTACATATTCTCAAACAGGAAACCCCCCACCCCTGCTCATTTGTCTCTTTTTGCTCCCGATCATATGATTGACTTTCTTGTATCATCCTCATCCCTGATAATAATCCTGGAGATATTACTTTAGTGCTCCTTGCCACTGTTATTATCCCCTGTGCCCCATGTTATGAGAACTTGACCCCTCCTTGACTTGCGGAATCAACCGGACTGTCTACAGGTCCAAACACCCGGTGATCGCTTTTGCTCTGATATACCTTATTTGGTCAACCACACCACCTGCGGCTTATTTACGGCTGATTTTGATCTTACTTCCTTATATCCGCTTCTACTCTTCTTTGACCCCACTGTAGATCAGTGGAACACATACATATACGCACCTATAACCCAAATCAACATCACAGCCTATATCACCATGGGTTCCTATAAATCCTGCCAAGCCGGCAGCTACAGCTCAACAGACAGTTCATCCTCAAAAAGCACAGCAGCAACAATTCACAGCGACAGAATAGCCCAACCGCACAAAGGCGACTGGGCCACAAACCCAGCCCAAAAATACACATACAGACCCGAAGCCGGAGTCAAGTACGAGTGTCGCGAGGTACAGCCCCGCTCCTCAACATCAACTTATGCCTCAACAACAAACTCCACAGCCGAGCTTGACCCGGAGCCCCAACCAATCGAGCCCGCAAGTCCCCATGAAGGCCGCTACTGCGTAAACGAGCGGCAAGAATTCTACCCACTAGATGCAATCCCCTCAACACCCTCATCGTTCGCGCCTCTCTTCCCTTCCTCACGGCGACTGCTCATCCGCCACGACGATGCAACCGTCGACGGCAATATGAACCTGCGCGTCGACACACCCGTCCACCTCCGCGACGGCTCTCAGCGCGATGTCATCCTCTTCCACCTGCGCATGTACGATCTCTTCTCACGGAAGTTTTCGTTTAGGCGGTACTGCCGGGACTCGGGGCGAGAGGTGTGCCATTCTGCAAGGCGGGAAGTTGTGCCTGCTCATGAGCGAAGACCTGCGCTGCGCAGCTCGTGGAGTAGTGTTTTTGCTGGGTTTAGGCCTGGTTCAGCGGGTGGCCATTGTCCGCCAAATGGGGAGCTTAAGAGACAGGATTCCGGGCTTGGTGCTAGCTGTCCACATGGACATGGACATGGTCAGCCTGCGCGGGAAGAGGTAGATAATGGGATGGCTGAGGATGAGTTGGAGTTGGAGAAGGAAAGACAGTGCACTTTACCGATATTGGGTGAGACGATGTTGCTCGAATTCTCGAATTACGCGCATGTCGAGCTGCGCCGCAAAGGGCCTGGCTCGACTAAAAAATACGAATTCGAGTATTGGTCCACGAAGTACCAGTGGCGGAGGGAGGTCCGCAAAGAGGGTGATCTGCATGAAGTATCTTATTACTTGGTTGACACGCGCACTTCCAAGACTATTGCTCATTTGGTACCGGATACGCTGGCGCCGCTAGAGGTTGTTGAAGAGGAGAGTAAGGGGGGTTGGGTGCCACCTTCTTCACTGTGGATCAGTGATCCTGAAGTTTACAAGACGATGCCTGACGTTGCCGAGTAAGTTATCCTGAATCCCTGCCCTACCCCTCAACCATCTGGCTGGTTTCGGTATCTGGTCCTAGCTCTGGCTCTGGATCTGTTCACTCTATTTGCTTTTTGGTTTTTTTTGTATCTTTCCCCTCTTTTTTTGTCTCTCTTTTCTTTTTCTGTGGTTCATATGAGGGGGGTTGTGGTTCGTGTACAATGCACCAACGCATCCGCCATGCGCGATGCACCATGATACCCCTGCACAACGTGATGATGAGGCATGAGGCTGATAAATTGGCTTTTTTTTTTTTCCAGTGTGATTGTTGCAACAGGGATAATTGCGCTAGTTGACGACTGCATTCGTCGTCGCTGGCATCACGAGCGGCGTCCGTCTTGGATCCTTCCGGCTCAGTACTCGCTAGCAAAGAGTCTAGAGCGCATGGGCCCCCGGCGCCTGATCGGCCAGGTACTACAGCGGAGGGGATCCGCCTAAGCGACACAGGGGTTTCGGGTCCAAGACCTTGCTAGATGGATGAGTTGGTCCTGCATTAGTCGGGATATTTATGGTGCACCGGTGATGCTGCCTTTAATGACTTGATGATGTGAATGACGCAGTATATGAATATTTTGTTCTTGTTCAGGTATAGCTTGTGAATAATTCTTGCCATGTAGCCTTTTATTCTTATTTTGTTTTTTCAACCTTCATCCTTTTCTCGTCTTCATTGACACGAATCATTTCAGTTTAATGGGACTTGGGGGACTTGAACAGCCTGGTTCTGGGCGCTCTTCTAAAATGGATTTGATAGGGAACTAAACAGGCTTGCAGATTTGGGAATCATCCATATTGGATTAGCAGCATAACTTACCTCCTAAATCTGTTGCATATCGCGTAGAGACTACGGGTCTGACCGCTTCAAAAGTTGAACCATGGTTTTTATTTTGGAGCTAGGGCTAGTCTATTTCTGCGAACCATGGTTCGATTTTTGAGCTAACCTTCCTCGTGCTCTATCGACCTATTGTCCTGATTCTAATGCATCTCCCAATGCATCTAAGATATTCAGAATTCAGCAAAATAAAAAGAACTGAATGGACTAGTGTATGAAGAACTGTCATTGTTTAGGGCTTATGATCGATTGGTTCTGAATGAATCTTTTTGTTTTTAGCGCGACAGCCCAAAGAACACCCTTGGCCTTGCTGCCTTATAGAACAAGCCATAGTATATATTCTTAGACTGGAGTATCTATGTCTACTACTGTAGGTACCGATAGTGTACTTATGTAGTCTACTGCGCAGCATAAGTTTAACAGATCAAGATTGGGTGCGGGGCAAGCCCCTCATTTCATTTTCATTTTAGACGCCCTACAATGTGCTGGCCTAGTCCTCTGTCGACCATCGGCTGTTTCTCTACGTGTTTCAATGTAGCCGCATTACTGAGAACCATGGTTGAAGATATTGTCAACTCTGCATGCATGCCCAACACTTTGCTAAAACATCCATTCCGACTGGGAGATTTGAATTGTCTTTGGACAATAATGAAATGTTGATAATTCCCTTTCTCTCTGCACATCAGGCGGTTAACCCGACGGGACTAGCCGACATCATGAAAATAAACCAGGGGGTTCTTGGCCGTATCTTTGTTCGAGATCTCTGCAACATATGCCCTCCTGACGGCTTTCTGACGTTTCTCCGGCGGAAATGCCACCCATGTCGCCTCATTCCCTCGCTTTGTCTTTTTTTTTTTTTTTTTTTTTTTTTTTGCTTTCCCTCTTCGGTTGATCCTGGGCCCGACATCAATTGTTCATGCAGGGCGGCCCGGTTTGTGGCTTTAGAGGTGCCCAGCAAGTCTTTCCTAGTCAATGTGTGAAAGTCGACTTCTCCAAAATAGTCATGATCTCATCCATCATGATGAGCTGGCAACACTTTCCAATGCGGCCCAACTTGGGAGTTGAATCTACATTTCAGGCATCCTCCACACCCTCCACACCCTCCACATGCTCCCGAAAAACAATTAAACAATAAAAGCTATGACACTGACGCTGTGGCCATAGGCTCCGCTTTTTGGGCAGAGATCACCCACAGTTCTCTACCCCTCATGCAGTCCCTCATGGTTGTTCCAGAAGCCCGCCGTTCCGCCGATACGGTTCAAGTCCATGCGCAAACTAATCCCGGGAGATGATAATGCTTTTCGTTTTCGTTTTTTTTATTTTATTACCCTAACGTACTTGTGCTCAAGTGAGGCGAGAGAGCAAAATAAAGGAAAGAAAAAGAAAGAAAGAAAAATACAAACTGAATACCTCATGCAAATCCAAAAAGAAAAAAACACCCAACGTGGGGTTCTCTGAGTTGTTCACTTTTCCCATCCAATCCAAGTCCAAGTTTCTCCCGAAAAAGGTGTCATATATGGGTAGGAGAAGTAAATATCTCCCAGTCTATCATAGAGCGGGAACTAACTTGGGAACATCCGGGTTGCCCCTCTTCCTTCCATAACCTTTACGTGCTGTCTAGCGTTTCTTCAAGGGCTGTTTTTTGCTTAGTCGGCGTGCGCCGGGCCGTTCCAGGTTGCAGCCTCAAAATGATCCGCATACTCTTTCTACTACGTTCCTTTACTGGTGGATAAGGGAGGGGATTTGGCTGACGCTGTGCCATGTCCACATCGACATGCATAAGCCCCCCTCCGTTAGGTTTGACGGTTAGGCTCCTGTTTGTTCCCAGGGGGTGAAAGAATTTAATTAAAAAAATCCGAAAAAAAAAAGAAATACAGAAAATACTAAAAAGAAATACAAGAAAAAAAAAAAAAAAAAAAGAAGCTGAAAACCAACGGGGTGTTATTTCCCTGGCCTTGAAGATATGGCCCACTGTTTATATGGCTCCCCGCTCCCCATGTCGTCGTTTGAAAGATTGAAAAATACATTTAAGAAGATCTCTAGAGATTCCAAACGGGTCCAATTGAGCTCATCTGATCCAGTTCTTCCTTTTATATTTTGTGGTTTCCCCTTGAAGCTCGACTTCTTTTCTCTTTGATATTCATCTTCAATTGGGTTATTAAACACTATCAGTGGACTAATATCCTCCCCACCTTCAATCCCACTTCATACCACTTCAATTGCAAAGCTTAGCAGTTCTCCCACACTATCTCATCTCTCTACGAAGCAACAATGTCGTATACTACCAGCCCCCAAGGAAATAGTGTTGGCAGCCGGCCCAGCTGGCAGGATCAGCTTCAGGGTAAGTCAGTGGCATGTGTGATCAAACCTCAGCTGCCCCAAAATTCCTCCCAAATGACAAGAGTACTCGACTAATCGTCTCCAGATCATTGCACACGCACCAAGCTATCTCCTCCTGTCTTCAACATTGTCTCCGATCGGCGAGGTACTTACCCGATTTCCAATCCTCCTCTTTAGTCTCCATCCGTCGTCTTCCCATGCTGCACCAGATTATTTTATTTTCTCTCTTATTCCCCGGTCCAATACATACATACACAGCATGTCTCTGTCCACCGCTGTGTGTCTTGTGTGTGGGAATTGCAGGAAGGAGTGGAGTCTTGCAGAAAAAGACACAGAAAAATGGCCCCCCTTCACTTGTACACCGACTTTTAGTTCCCGAGCCTTTGACAGCAGAAAGCTAATTACATTTATCTCGGAATTGCAGGAGGTCGTACGGCTTGGTCCAGCACCGTCACCGTCCAGGGCCAGAATATCGCCGCTCGTTACTGGTATGACGGTCAGTTTATCAACAATGCCAAAGAGGACGCCGCCGAGGTTGCCCTCAAGGCCCTGAATCAGCAGCCTCGGGCTGCTACTGTCTATCAGGGTCAACTGTTCCCGCAGGCAACGTCGTCCGGCTATGGTCGCGGAGCTGGTGGCTTCTGATCGTATTCTCATTTCAAATATTTCCTACTAGTCTTGGGTGGCATTCTCTTCCCTTCTTGTGTTTTTATCAAATTTTCTGGTTCTTCATTCTGATGTTAATTCTGAACTCTGTTGCTTTTCATTTCCTTGTGTGGGTGGGTGCTTGTTCTGGTTTGGTTTCCGTTTCCACCTGTGAAGGGCCCCCGGGGGATCCACAAGTCCTATCCGATGCAAAACCCATACCTTTGTTGTCGCTTTGCTCTCTCACTTGCGTTTCTGACTGCAGGGAAAAAAAAACATAGCCCCTTCACCGCACTCCTCTTCTCCCACCTCTTTCTCGTCTCGACACCCTTTTCTCCCCGAGTCCCGCTGATGCACGCACTATCCCTCATCGACAACTACATCTTCCTAATTTCTGCAAGTCCTACGCACGATGGCTCGGCACAGTGCAGAGTCTATGTCATGGGCTATGGTGGGATGATTTCTGGCACCAGCAAGACGGACAAATAATTAAAAAAAAAGAAAGATGCCCCATCCACCATCCCTGTCTCGGATGACCACTTTCAAATGCAGGTCACTACCTTGTTTCGCATTTGTGAAACCTCAATACCAGTCGTGACACACACCCCAGATCCCGACGGCTCAAGTACATGATACGGTGTCTGGATGTCGTCAGGCCTCGTGTGATGCAGCGCGAGTCAGACTCCCTCTGGCCCTTTTCGGCGTCCCCCACATACGTGTTCTCTGGGAATGCATATATGTATTCCTTTGTAAAAGGATCCCACATACACTTTTCTGCGGCCAATTACTGTTTCTGTTTCCCCCCGACTGGGGCTCATACAGGTCGTCTTCAGCTTTTGATTTGTCTCTCCTCTTGCTGCGCTGTCTGCCTTGAGACAAAGCCTGGAATTGGGCCGGGTGCTTACTGCCACTTGATGAGAGGCGAGGGGCTCGGGTCTCATGCATTGTGTCAAGTGACTACTGTTTGTCCTTTCGAGAACATATGACTTGTCATGCTCGAGTGGATTCGATGTCATACCCGGGACGATTTTCAATCGGTACTCCCTGCTGCACAGTTCAGATGGCAATTCTACTTTGTGGCATTGTCGAAAAGTCTAAGGTGGCATTTTGAATAGATGATACTTCCTGGAGCTATGAATGCATACGTGTGTCTGTGCTACCGCGGATACAAAGCGACTCGTTCTTATCTCAAGCGCGATGCGACATGGCAAATGTGGCGATGGAAGCAACTTGGAACAAAAGATCACGAGGAGGAGTTGCAGGATAAAAATGGGACAAATACTTTTCATTTACCGGGCATCTACTTGTCTAGAATTTGGCTTTTGGGTTCGGTTTACGTTCTGTCTGCTTATTCGATACGTTTTGCTTTGTTTTATCTTTTCTTGGTTCAGACCGGGTATATGCGCCTGACAGAGGGAGTTTCTTCGTCTCTTGTTGGGGTGTGTTGGATTTTGGAAGTTTGGACACGGAACTGGACTGGGGCTATCTATTACGTTGGTATTATATATGGATAGTACTGGACTTGGGACTGTAATGGTCAGGGTTTGGTTTCTATCAAATTGTTCTCCTTTTTTTTCTTATTATACGATTACAGAATATCTATCGACAGGGATTTTACGATTGGATTCTGCCTTTTTCTTGCATTTTTTTACTAATTACTGGTATACTGATGGAGATGATCCATGACCACCTGGCTGGGACAGACTCATCTATTATAAAAGAGCGTCGTACATGTTTACCCTCGTTCGAGGTACTGTTGATCATTGCGGGTTCTTGCCGCATTGGCCTCCCGTCCGAAATTACACATCCGCGGGTAGCACAGCGTTGGCCATGTGTCTAGCCAAACATTAATTTCCGATGCATAGCGAGTTGGGCAGCATTCCAAATGACCGATGTTATCTCTTGGGGTGAGATGAATCAAACACGTATTGAAAACAAATTATCAATAATAGCAGAAGTATTTCTATTTCTACAAAAGTACCTAGGTAACGTTGAAGACTCGACGTTGTCGACGTTTGGACGTTTTGGTTCCAAGGTTACTTTTGACTGAACCATGGAACGCTGAACTTTAATAGCTAACAACTTTAATTGTCTATTTTAACCAACTCATTGCTGAACCTCAGATGAACTCGACGATAGTATCTAAGAATAAGCCTTCTCGGTAATTAGGGCTAGCACTATGCTCGGTATATAGCCATTTATAACTGTACAGTATACAACCCCCCTGAGGACTGATCGCCAAGACTGCTTGATATGGTGCTTTCCGACGGAAATTCAATGTCGATCCGCTATACAAAGTATATTGTACAATACAGGTCGCCATCACGATACTCCGCCTTGCTCGGGCGGTAACTATTTTGATCAACGTTATTCGACAAAGGGAAATCCAGCTGCCTGAGACGCAAAATCTTTTCAATGCCAGGCAGAAATCGAAGACTTAGTGTTGGAATAATATATATAATTGATTATTCCATCGCCATAGCCGACCCAACCACAATTTACCTCAACCCACGCACGTCCACCAAAATATTCAGCGATCCAAAGAATCATAAAGCTGCTACCTGCCTCATTTTCAAACAAATTGCTTCCACCCAAATATCACCATGTGTTTTGGCTCATCGCGCAGAGAGGAGGTATATGACTCTCCACCCACGCGACGCGCATACTACGGCCACGGTACCCACAGCCAGTACACATACAACAAGGATAACGCAGCACATAAGAAGAAAAAGAAGCGTCGCGCATACCAAAGCACTGCTACTGCTTCAATTATAGCCGCAGGAGCGAGTGGAGGTGGTGGCGGTGGCGGGTGCTAGGTCTGGGATTGAGAGGGCCTGCATTTTTTCCCCCATTGATTGAATGGCTGCGATGATTATTGACTACAATATGTAATATATGTAAGGTTCATGCGGATCTAGAATACGATTCAAATTTTTAAACCCAGACAAGGGGACAGTACAGTTTAAATTTTGCACTTTACCCTGTGTATTAGATAGCAGAGCTGAGCTATAATGTTGCTGTACGTACTTTATACTCTGTACAAATTGTCGAAAAATCTTAATCTTTCATTAAAATTAATTATCAGTAATCTATCTATTCTATGGCTCAGATGCATGCAGTACCAACTTCGTATACGACATGTACACCCTGTAGCTCGTAAACCGAGTCCTGTCATCTCTCTCCACAATTACCCAGTCCTACCAATCTAATACGCGAAAGACTTTCCATCTCTTGCCCCGTCTCCGCGGCGATTGCGCCACCCGTAGTAGAGCCTCAATAGAATGCAGCCGGCTGCCACAAAGAAAAGCAATGCTGCATTTGTCCAATGGCCGGTTGGGTAGCCAATCTTTGCTTCGTCACTCTTGTAGATCCAGACGCCGACGATCTGGCCTGGGGCACCAAACGATATGTTGAGTGCGATCGCGAGTCCTGCACCGGCTGTTGAGCTGATATTAGAGGATAACCAGCCTAGTAGAGGTGGGATGCAGGCGAAGGCACCGCTGGCCGCGACTATGAGGCATCCGTAGCGGCTCTGCCGTTTGGGTTAGTTCATTGGCTTGTGCCCACCTGGGATGATTGGCTAACTTACTAGATATGCACTAGCGGGGAGAACTGCGGAGGCGAGGAAGCCAATTGCCCCGATGAAAGAGAATATAGCGGAATGAAGACCACGGCTGAAATTTTAGGTTAGTGATTGGGTATGCTTTATAATTGAAAACAATTTACCTGTTGAAATAGTCCGCAGACCAGGCCACAGCTATAGTCACGACATAGGCTACCGCGTACGGAGGCACGGTCATCAGCTGAGCGCGGAGATCAGAGTATCCCAGACCAGCAGTAATGGCAGGCGTGAAAAGAGAAAGACTCGAGAATGGTGTTGAGATGCCGAAGTATACCTTTTTGGCTGATTAGTTTTCAGAAATCGACAGTAAAAAAAGGGCGCAAAAGCATACCGCATAATGAGCATACAATCTCCAATCAGTCAGCGTAGCCTTAGCATCCTCCCAAGACATAGCATGATCAGAACCCTTAGATCCTTCCAAACTCAATCTCTGCGCAGCAAGCTCCTTCTCCTCGGCAGTAAGCCAATTGGCAGTCTCTGGGTAATCTGGCAACAAGAACCAGACCAGAACAGCGGACGCGCACGATGGGGCCCCCTCAATAATAAACAGCCACCTCCAAGCAGAAAGGCCATGAGCGCCATTCATATGGCCCACACCAAAGGCAATAGCACCACCAAATGCTCCAGCAAGTGTTGCCGAGGCAAGGATCAGAGCTACACGGATCGATCGCTCGGAATTGCGGTACCAGAATGTAAGGTAGTATACGAAGCCGGGAAAGAGGCCAGCTTCCATTACGCCGAGGAGGAATCGGAGTCCCGTTACCTGCGCGTAGTTGTGTACGCCACCGAGACCCATTGTTGTTGCACCCCAGGAGATCATGAGGAAGGCGATCCAGCGCTGGTGTTTGTTAGTGGAATTGTAATAATTGGGAATGGATGATGCGTTCGGGTTGGTTTAGACATACACTTGGGCGGAGCTTCTTCAGGAAGTAGTTTGATGGAACTTCGAACAGTGCATAGGCGATCAAGAATACCATGAGTGCAATTCTTCTGTACGTCAGCGCTTTGGATTCTCGTGCTTAATCAATATTTGCGACTCACGTGTACTGATATGGAGTCATATTAGTCTCAGAAAGGAGATCATTGTGAGTATCCGCATTCAAAATTTTGGCATTGCCTAGATATTTTAGCTTCAAGTCTATCCGACATTGTGGGCCGAAAACATACCGATATTAGAGCGATCGAGATAACAAAGCAAGTAAATTGCAGCGCACAAGGGGATGATGCGTAGGTCTTGTCTCCAGACCAACGCCTTTTCGCGTGCGTTGAGAGCATCATCGACAACATCTGGGCTGGCAAGCTGCGCTACTGTCAGTCTTAAGCTCGAACACCAGTATCTATAACAAGGGGAAAGGGGGAAAGATACCTCTGAAGCTTGTTCAACATCGTGCATGTATTTTTCGGTTGCCATGTTGACAAGATGTTTCCCAGGCACACAGAAGAGGTATGTCAGGAAAAAAAATTAGGGAGGCTGCAGTGTGTTTTTTTTCGCTTGCTTTTTTTCCCCGTGTGATTTAGCTTCCCCGGGCTTTTGTCCCCCGCACTAGGGCGACTCGGCATTCTTCCGACGCCTCACGTTGGGGTATTGAGGGTACATATTTTCGGGACTTGAGCTAGGGTTTGCAATGTTAGTAACTTGGTCTAAAAGGATGCTTTGTGCATATTTAGGTATCATCTGGTTATCGTCTCTTATTTCCCCTGAATTGGGGTTTCCCTGGATCTCCATATCGAGATCTCAAGGACGAGGACGATTGCGGTCGATGTCAAAAGGAGTCAAGACAAGGAGCATCGGTAGCGAGAATCAAGGCTATTATTAGCATTCCAATTATGGGAATGATCTTTTTGTAATCAGTATGTAGGTTATGTATGGGTTATGTAGTTCTCTCCGAGGGCAGCAGGATTCACCAATGGCATTGTTGAGCCTCAAGCCGACAAAATTCCCAACATTGAAATAGAGCATTGAGGGACTTCAAGTATACAAATAAGGTCAAAGACATAAAAATTATATATTTTGCGTAGAGCGCGTTGTATAAAAGCAAAACCTAGATGCAAACCAGACAAACATCTTATCAGATAAAAGTGTTCCTGATCGCATCGCAAACACTTAACCCCTCCCCATGCTATGCCACCGTCTGCTAGCCAGGCGCCCTGCTAGAACATCATATTCGACTCTATCCATATCCATCGCAAATATGTCAACCGCCGCTCCCGCCCGCAACTCTATGCCCTCCGCATTAACCTTTGATCGTCACGCCAAATGCTCGGTACGTCCTTGTGGCATGACCGCCACTTAAAACCTACTGTAACACATATCTGATGCGTGCTATGGTACCATAGACAACTAAGGCGCGCGCGAGTACCCTCCACCTGCCTCATGGCTCAGTGCCTCTTCCGATCTTCATGCCTGTCGCGACACAGGCATCTCTAAAGGGCCTAACATACGACCAGCTGCGAGAGACGGGATGCATGCTGTGCTTGAATAATACATATCACTTAGGTCTGAAGCCCGGTCAGGCAGTGCTAGATGCAGTGGGCGGAGCGCATAAGTTACAAGGCTGGGATCGGAATTTATTGACCGATAGTGGGGGGTAAGATATACCACCTTTGCAGAATTGATGATATGTTACTAATCGGATATATTGCTACTCAGTTTCCAGATGGTGTCGCTTCTTCAGTTGGCGACTGTCACAGAGGAAGGAGTGCGATTCCTTAGCCCGCACGATGGCTCGCCAATGTAGGTGGTTTCGCTGCAAACTGTGTAGCCGAATGGCTGAAATGCTAACTTTTTACCAGGTTACTGACTCCCGAACACTCCATTGCTCTCCAGAACTCTATCGGATCTGATATTATCATGCAATTAGATGATGTAATTGCAACCACTTCGCCAGATCATGCTCGTATCAAGGAGGCTATGGACCGCTCTGTGCGGTGGCTAGATCGGTGCATCGAGGAGCACAAATACCCTGAGCGACAAAACCTCTTTTGTATCATTCAGGGTGGTCTAGATCTCGAATTGCGAAAACAATGCTGCGAAGAGATGGTAGCGCGAGATACCCCAGGAATCGCCATTGGAGGTCTATCTGGTGGAGAGGCGAAGGAGGAGTTCTGCAAAGTGTATGTGGCTCTACTTTCGCCAAAAAGGAGACTGAATGAGCTAACCAACCAAAGAGTGGATACATGCACTGATATCCTCCCGGAGCATAAACCCAGATATGTTATGGGCGTGGTATGTCTTACTGAATTGTTTCTTCTGCCTTGGCTGATCGCAAAAAATAGGGATACCCCGAGGATATTGTTGTAGCAGTGGCTCTCGGTGCAGATATGTTTGACTGTGTTTGGCCAACACGGACAGCGGTAAGACTCAACAGCCCCTCCAGTTTTGTTCTTGCACTAACATCAACCAGCGCTTCGGCGATGCCATCGTCTCCTCTGGGACACTGAAACTAAGCCATAAATCGTTCGCCGATGACTTCAGTCCAGTTGAGGAGGGCTGTACCTGCACTTGCTGTCGTCCAACTGATCAAGGTGGTCTCGGGCTCACGCGAGCATACATGCACCACATCACAGCTAAAGAGACCGTCGGCGCTCATCTGTAAGTGTGGACTGACCGCGATATCTTGTTTCGGTTCTAATACTTCTATAGTTTGACCATCCACAATGTTCATTATATGTTGACCATGATGGGCAAAATCCGACAGGCCATTATTGATGACCAATACCCGGCTTTCCTTCGCAAGTTCTTCTCCGACATCTATGGAGGCGATAAATCGAAGTACCCCGAGTGGGCGGTAGGTGCTCTGCGGGGAGTTGGAGTGGACTTGCTAGCAGATTCATGACGGCGTGATCACTAGGTTTGATCAGACGGGAAGTGTCTTGAAGAAAGAGATAACGAGGAATTCACTTTACACTATAAAAAGCGTGTGCATCCATTTTAGCGGTGTTAGGTTGACTGAAATTAGAGCGCACCCTATCAAATATCTACCGAAAATAAGATATGAGTTCCCTATTATTGTTCTTGTAGCAATATGTATCGTAAAAGGTCAGAAGTACCTATAATAGTTTGTTGAAATCTTATACTATATGGGCTTCTAAAGAGTTCTATACGTCAGTATCAATGTTGATACTTTAGGGAAGAATATCATTGTTCCGTGTAAATAACTCGTACCCAAGCACTCCGTAATCCAGCGCATATTAATACCTATAATAGCGAAGTAAAAGTTGATTGGATAATTCCCTGAATAAGTTGATTAGAGCACTATAAAATACGAGATGCGCACGTGACCACGTGTCGCGTCGACGCGATCCACCGATCCCCGAGATTCTCTCCATTGTCCACTTGGCATTTTAAGTGTCTCTCTACTATCAAATCCCAGCAGAAACCCTGATACTCCGTCTCTCACTAATTTGAGCTACATCATGACTCAAGATCAAGTCGCCGCAGCCCCCGCGGCATCCTCGCCGCCACACGACCCCTCGCACGAAGAGCACCAATACCTCAACTTGATACGCACAATCCTCTCCGAAGGCGAACACAGACCCGACCGCACTGGCACTGGCACGCAATCAATTTTTGCACCACCCCAATTACGCTTCTCTCTCTCGAAGCCGAACCCAGAAGGCGGCGCGCCAATCCCCGTCTTGCCCCTCCTCACCACGAAGCGAGTCTTCCTACGCGCCGTGCTTGCCGAACTACTCTGGTTTATCTCTGGATGCACCTCCTCGCTCCCACTCTCCGAGGCCGGTATTAAGATCTGGGACGGAAATGGAAGCCGCGAGTTCCTGGACAAATCCGGCCTCGGCCACCGTGAAGAAGGCGATCTAGGACCCGTGTACGGATTCCAGTGGCGGCACTTTGGCGCCGAGTACGTCGACGCCAAGGCGGATTACACCGGCCAGGGCGTCGACCAGCTCAAAGATGTTGTGCACAAGCTCATTCACAACCCCTTCGATCGCCGCATCATTATGAGCGCGTGGAACCCCGCTGATCTGAAAAAGATGGCTCTGCCCCCGTGCCATATGTTCGCCCAATTTTACGTCTCGTTCCCACCTGGTATGAAGCTCGATGAAAAGACTGGCCGTCCATCGGAGAAGGGTACACTGTCTTGCGTGCTCTATCAGCGCTCTTGTGATATGGGTCTTGGTGTGCCTTTCAATATCGCATCATATGCTCTCCTCACTCATATCCTTGCACACGCTGCGGATCTTCATCCCGGAACTCTCATTCATACTATGGGTGATGCCCATGTCTATCTTGACCACATCGATGCGCTTAATGAGCAGCTTGTTCGGGAACCAACGGAGTTCCCGGAGCTCCGCATTAAGCGTGATGACCGGGGTAGCGCGGTCGTTGATGGCTGGAAGGAGGATGAGTTCGAGGTCATTGGATACAAGCCTCACAAGATCATCAAAATGAAGATGAGCGTTTGATTTATATAGATTCCTGGTGTATGGTTTGCGGGCACTGTCCGAGTTACGATGTTTGCATGATACCAATTATTCTGTGGTGTATACCACAGGCCTATACATATTTTGAGATAAAAAATAGCAATGCATTTAAACTCTAAGTCTACATGTATGGCAAATCAACTCGCGCGTTGTTGAAGCAAAACATGCTTCCAGGTGTATCAGGCTGTGTATATGCTTCGAAAAGCAAAAATCAACAATAAAAGATCAAAAAGAGAGTGCTAATAAATGCATCATGCACTCGCAAGAACAGCTCCAGCTCCACGTAGCAACACAATCGTGTCACCTTGCTTTACCTTCCCAGCACCAATAGTCTCCGAGAACTCAAGGAAATCCCCAGACTCCACATGGAAGATCCGCAACCTCGAATCCTCCCCATCAACCCGATTATTCAAATTCTGAACCCGTAACTTCTTCGCCGCATCATCAAGCACACGGCCAACCTTCCACCTCGAATCGAAAAAGAAATCGCCAGCCGGCGGCTCCGCAGCCTGTGTCTCCGCCGTACCAACAGTATGCAAATACAGCCTCTTATCCACCGGAACCGAAGCATCGCCTTTAGCCGATCGCTTGAGGCCATTAACAGCAACCACACGGGCAGCCGGACTATTCGGTTTAGGCTTCATCTTTGGGAGGGTTGGCAGCAGGGTTCCCTTGGCAGCGGCTTGCTGCTTATCGCGGCCCCAAGTGCGCACGCGCGCAAACATAGACTTGATTGTATCGTTTGACGAAGCGGCATTGTGCTGGCGCGCGCCCAGCGGGGTAATCTTGGCGCATTCGTGTTCCTCGCGGAGACGGTGTTTCAGGCAGTACTGGTGGTTGCACTGGGGGCAACGCACGGCGGGGTCTTTAAGGGTGTTGATGAGGGTTTTGCACTGGGTGTGGGCACATTGGTCGGTGTTGTAGATGGATGGTTTTTCGGGGGCGGTGCGGTTTTCACGGTTGGTGTTTGTTCCGTTGCGGCGGCGGGCCCATTCGCCTTCGCGTGGACACTCGTGCGCGGTTTCGGTCCGGTGGTCTAGACAGTATGTGCTGTGGCAGGATTCGCAGCGGAAGGGGAGGAAATCTAGTTGGCCGCAGTACTCGTATTGGCAGTGTCGGCCTAGGGATTCTAGGTCTGTGTCGGCCATTTGCGTGAAGGTTTCGCTTGGGTCGTTGGAGGGGCTTCGCCCTTTCGATACAGTTATAGGGGGCATTATGTTTGGTCTTTGGACTTGAGGTACGCAGGAGAAGGAGAATGCGCATAAACGAGAGACTCGAGTATGTCTGATAGAACGCGCTGGCACAATCGCCATGTGACTAATGTGGAGAAGGTTCTGGGCTTATCTAAATACGGAGTTAAGATTCGGAGTTAGTCCATCTATGGAAATTGATTCATGAACTCATCCATGGTTCTGTGAGATTTAAAACTACTATAAATAGGGAGAGATATTATGGAGATGGAACTTCCCATCAACTCAACTATATCTTTCTCCCAAATCTAAATTCATCTCAATCCTAGACCAGCAGCTCAACCCGGTGAAACCCTCAGAGCTTAGTTTACACTCTATATATTAGAGTTCCCAAGTGGACATATCATTTAAATCTCCGCTTCCAACAGTTGCTAGATTCCAATTGACAAACTCCCAATCTTCCCAAACAATGTTCTGGGGTCCTCGGTCCGTGTGGTATACCCTAGAGGACATGCATTCCTTAAGAGAGGATTTCTAATGAGCAATCACATTCCACCTTTCCTATCTATGGTTTATCAGGCAATTTCCTACAGCCAGGCATTTTTGAATGCTGCCCGAATCTCATCTGGTTCGTTCCTCGGCACGACCGAGTAGAGACTAACCCATCGGTGACTTAGATCAGAGCCGGGTACCCGCTCCGTTAAGATTAAGTCCATGTGTCCTCCCGGGACCCAGTCTGTTTCGCCTTGTTTCTCAGATTGAGAGGCAATAAACTTTGGTGCGGATGAGCAGTTTGCTTTGGTCAGCAACTCATTGCGCGTTGCCTCGGTGTAAAGCGGCGCTGCCTGCTAAGCTCTAGTCTCTGCAGTTTTAGACCATGTTTCCTATTTTAGAATCCTAACCATGCTTAGTACAGATCAACCATACCTGGGAAATGCTAATAGCATGAGTCGGTGATAGTTATAGGGCTGTTAACATACTATAGTCGGACCTTTAGCACTGCTTCTTAAGCTAGATCATCTATGTTCAAGCACGTGAATACCGCATGCGCTTGGTTAGATACTTTTTATTTCTCCAGAATCTTGCTGGTAGTCTTCCCCATATCATCTGAGGCGTGGAATTCGATTTGTTTACCGATCCAGCTGTTATCCTCGAACTAGATCATACCTGGTTGCACGATGGCAGTCGGTCATGGAGTGTTTCAGGCCAAAGTCAAGATATTTATGTGTAGTAGATATGGTATTGTTGCTAGTGTCCATGGGTCATCGCTGGTTGCGAACAAATTGCCCAACACGCACTGACCTTTCTCTTTGTAAGACCCAGGGATACAGGGTGACACTCTGACACGATAACGGGGACTGGTAAATAAAATATTAGACAGCTTTATGGAGACCATAAGTGCGCCAACTGGCTGTCATATTAGGTTTGAACCCACTGCTCCGATCAATAGTTATTGATTAAACCGAGCTCGCACCGAGAAGACATCCAATTATCATATACAAGATGGAATTTCCTCTTATCGCCTAAGCGATCAGAAGAAAGTAGGTAAACACCGCTTTAGTGACAGATACGCTTAATACATACTAACTTGTTGCCAGGCGAATATGAACCCGCCGCGAAGAAGATTGCAACATACGGCGTTGCAGTCTCCTCTCCCATAATCCCAGACGTCAAGCATTCATCAAAAGTACTGCACATATGTCTAAGGGGATGGAATTTTTCGAAATCTACTGTTATAAACAATTTCTTGAACTGGTCATGATGTCCCAAAAAGCACGATTAATACAACTGCATATGCTATACTAAGGTGAGAATCAAAGTATAGGGAATACAGTCAGCGTTACTTGAGAATCTGCAAGGACATCACAGTAAAGCCATCATGTCTTTTCTACTTTGACTTGACTGTCAAACGACCCTTCGCATATCTAAACCAGGGTCGAGGTTACCCCAGAATCTAATCCAGGACTGTGTCCAAGTTGATCTTAATGCCGTCAATTTCGTTATTACCCGAGTACTCAACAGGCTGACCCAACAGGCTCTCCAAGGTGTGTTTAGTAAGGACACACCAGATATTGTTGGGGTCCAGCTCAAACGTCTTCACCCGGGAACACGATCGATACTAAAACAAAAATTCAACAGCAAGGCGCTGCTTCCCAACTCATATGTTAGGCATAGTGTATATTGCAGCGGAAATGAGCTGACTATGAGTCAGAAACGCACTTACAGTGACACATCACACCAGAACCCCGCGGTGTCGGTAGTATTCTTAAAGTGGAACTGTTGAGGAATCATTATTGGATCCACCTACTGGTGTATTGGTGCCCAGTGATAACCACACAGAAATGACACTGGAAATTGATATTTAATGCCCAAATCTTGTGTATCATACTATCCGTGGGTATGGTCTGCGTAACATGGAAGGTGCCGTTTATAGTCAATCCTAATACCATGTAGTGAAAGAGGCATAGGTGGAAATGTATGGGCATGCATAGCGCCCGGGATTTTTATCTGTGGCTATCGTGTCCGCTTATTGGGAGAAAAAAAAAGAGTGAAGCTTTTGTCGGGATATTATTAAGCCTTCAATGTAGTCGGTCCTACTTTGCCTACAATTTTGCGTTGCAGTTAGGTATTTCTTTTCAGTTAGAAATTGGGTCATCCCCACTTTCATATTCTATCCCCCTCTATAATTATGTACTCGTAGTGAACCTGTACTAGGGACAATCGGAACCCTGTCTCTTGTTTAAATAGGCGAATAACAACCCCTGCAGCGAAAAGAGAAAAACTCATCAGATATCAGAACACACGGTGAGATCGGAGGAATGCGGGGATAAACCACACATCAGTCCATTTTGGGTAATCATACGCGTTGTCCACAGCTCTCTGTATATAAAAGTTCCAAAAGGTTAGACTTCTAGAATATCGTCCCTGAGTTAAGGTCACGGCACGGCGACCGCACCAATCACCGGCCCGTATGTAACACCGGCCGCCGGCCCGGTTGGGGCTGTGATTGGTTCGCTTGGCCGAGGCCTTGTCTTTTTGGGCCAGCGATCTATAAATGTTGATGTTGCTTAATTTCTCGATAAGATGTTGGCATTACATTATAGAATGTCTGAGGATATATCTATCGGCTCTCTTCTTCTCACTCCCTCCATCTCTCTTTCCATCCCCAGTGCCAAGTCGTGCCCTAACTCATTCCATTGATCAGTGATCCACAGTAAGTTGTCTCATAATTCAAATGCCCCGCGTTGGATTTGTTTGATCTAATACGATTAGATTGCAGTTTACCGAATCTTGCCCGGTCCTGTCTTTACACCAACCCAACAGACTGTCAGACGGTGACGAACAGATGATGGTAGCATTGTCTGCTTGAACTATACAAATTACACGATAAGCTATGACACAGAAAGTCCAAGCCCAAGAGCAGGCTATGCCATTCGGTATCCAGCACACCAAAAGCCGGATGGCGGAACTGTTGGCAGCCGATGTAGTCATTGCTGCAGGTTCAGCAACATTGATAACGCCCGCGGTGATGATCTTTGACAGGTAAGTCGACTTGGACTCTATATATCATTAACATATATTGACCATCACCCAGACTCGTCGTCGAGAAGTCCTTCTACAACCAACCTCTCTTTCCAGCATTCCGCAGACACCTCTGGTTCTCTCTCACACAACCTGCAACTTTCTTAACATCACGACCCAGTCTCCTTGTCTGGTCCCTTTACACCGCAACGTTTGCCACAGCCAATGCCTCAGAGACTATCCTGAGCAAGTGGTACCCGAAGATCGACCATGCTATTGCAGGCATGACCACATTCGCTTCAACATTCATAGTTAACTCCTCCGTGGGCATCTGGAAGGACGTGAAATTTGCCCAATTATTCGGCCATGGCAACACCTCCGTGGCAGCCACAAACAATACAGCCACACCAGGCCCAACTCCAACTCCCACCTCCACCTCCAATACAACCTCAGCCCCTAAAACGGCCCGCTCGATCGGCCGCACCCGCATCCCAGTAGCAACATACTCAGCCTTCCTCGTCCGGGACGCCCTCACAATCTTTGGCTCCTTCAGCCTTCCCGCCATGGTCTCAACATCGATCCCAGACTCCATCGCCTCCCAAGAATACCTCAAGATCCTGATCGCGCAGCTCGCTATCCCAGCCTCCATTCAACTCATCAGCACGCCAATCCACCTGCTCGGCCTAGATCTATACAACCGGCCACAGGTGATGCCGACCAAAGACCGGATCAGCCGTGTCAGTCGCGACTGGATTGGCGCGTCACTGCTGCGCATGTGCCGCATTATCCCCGCTTTCGGAATTGGCGGGTTCGTTAATACAGAGGGCCGGCTTTACTTGCATGATCAACTTGATGATCGACGGAAAGGCTCTTGAGGTTTTTCCAGGCTTGAATTATAAATATAAATATATACGAATACGGATTCATAGAAGACAAATATACCCTTTCTTTTTTTTCTTTTCTCTTTTTTTCAAATGATCTTGTGTGTGTCTTATACCCTATCAGTTTCCCCCACTCCCGATATCACCGGGCCGGTTGTAGGCGGTTCAACTCGGGATCGGCAGAGGACACAACGTGAATTTTGGACCTTTTTTTGATTACGTTTTTTTCCTTCGGCATTTTCTCGCTTGGAATTTGGCAATGACGTTGTGGAGGCTGGGATATCGGACTACTTTGTAGAGATATTGCTGCCGTGGAGTCGGATGGCGGTGCCGATGTCGGGTGAAAGTATACCGCTGGTTTGGCTGGCCTGAAAGGAAGGGTTCTGAAAAAGGGCTTGGAAATGGAGTTGATATAGCAGATATTTCATCTAGACTGAAATATTATACATATATCATTTAAGGGAACATAAAACGACACACGAGCAAATACATAACCCTAGTTCCTTGAGCTCGTTACACGACAGTCGGGCCTCTAGCATTCATGAAACACTTGTTGCACGATTGTGGAAACAAGAAATCTTGTCTTTCTTCATCCTGTAACCATTTAATTCAGTTGGTACCGGTGACAAATCATGTAGAATGCGATAGTACCGAGCCTGAAAGCGATCCAGTGCTTCGCTGCCAATTGAATATGGCAATGACCCTTGCTACCATCACCCTCATCCTGAAACATATCGAAATCATTGGAAAGATGCTCTGTTGCACCCACAAAGCCTTGCCTAGGGCATCTATGTAATTCACGTTAGTCAGAAACCTCGTATAGAGAATCATGGAAATTCCACAGCTATCTATCAGTATAGAAACGTGGGCTCATCCCGGTCTACCGTTTACCGTTTCACCATCTTTGAAGGGGAATAAAGGTCAGCGGGTTTGAGGGGGCAGAACCAAAAGATCTACTGTGAAATTAAGAAGGTTTGGGGGAGCTCTGTAGTTGCGTTGAGGGGAAAGGACTAGCTACAGAGGCGGTAGAGACTATATAAGTGTGAGAGCAAACGAGAGAGACTATGTCAGATATTATGTTCAAGCCCAGCAATAGACAAGACGAGATATATTAACTTAAACACAACAAATAAAACCTAATATTGGAATATGAAGTATCACCAACTTCTTGATATGGGGCATATGTATACTCGGAAATAGAAACAAGATCATATTTTCTATATTTGAAATGAGCTAGCGAGGACCAAGATACTGGATAGGGACTCTAATCATTTGTCCTTGGAGGAAGTTAGTTACACCCAAACGAACAACACACACGGAAAAGGTGGAGCCAAAGGAACATATATTGACATGAATGCCCCTTGCCGATTAGACACCGGAACTTGAGTCATCCTACCGGCGATCTAGTAGATATCAGACTCCTAAAATGCGTTCAATATGTTTTGCAGAGCCTAACTATAGATGGCATAGCACAGGTGCAAAACCCAGTAAGACATCTCTGTACACACGAGAGCAAACTTCATGTAACAAACTGGAAAGTGTCAAAGGTCCAAATTCACTATAACTACGCCTTTATTTGGCCAACATCGTCATTGGCTATAGTTGTCTATACTCGCCCAAGCAACACAAAAGCCCATGACAGCTACTTCATTGGCTGCAAAATAATCAACTCTCTTCCAAGGCCATTAACTCGCTTCTTACTCTATGCCCCGTGGCGGTAAATTTCCAGGTCAACATATTATGAACCTATACAGTGCACAAACTACCTACACGTATACAGAAAGACGACTGGTTTTATATATGCCAGAATATACCCCCCCTCCCCACCCGCACATCTACATTCGGTGATTGTTTTTCCGAGTCGCAGAAATTGGTATTAGAAGGCTAGTCATGTTTCAAAAGTAGCCTCAGAGCGATGGGAATATGGCACTCCGATATGTCTATCTCTACCGGATGAACATAAATACTAGTTTACCGCAGGCTTGCTTGGTTCCAGCATGCTCAAAAGCACATTCGCTTTGCATGCGGCCAATTTCGCTCTCGGTCATTCAGAGGAATGACTCAATGTAGGCGGGGCCATCGCGGGCTATTCCATGGCTGATTGCCGATCTGAATCAGCCTGAACGGCGGAGTCAAAGTTTGAGCAACAGGCGCGAAGCGAATGCTGGCCGGTGCGTCGTTGTCAGAGACGGATGAGTGGGATCACTTCGGGTGATCTTCTCACGCACAGCAGATTATATCGCAACACTGGGTGGATCAAGTCGGCCATCTGGCTTTTTGTGGAAATCTGATAGAAGTGGCAATACAGCCAAGCTCATCGAATGTCGGTGTCCATGGCCTCCGTTCCAGAGACGCGGCCTTTGGATCCCGAGCTGGTAGCCAAAGAGTCTGCATGGCTGAAATCATGCAAAGCATGGCTCGGGTCAACAAAAGACGGGTACTGCCCGCCGGCAGTATTGAAAGATGACGATCTCCACATGTGCTGGTGGGCGATATTGACCAGTTTGCCGAGGACTGCAATCTCGAGTTTCAGCTTGATGCTGTACAGCGTGGCCTTGAGGGTCGTCTGGTAGATATAGTAGTTCCTAAACTCGATAATCATCAACGCGATATCCATCAGGATACAAGACACGTTGACGGCGAGCAGCTGCAAGATCGTCTTGCGACTAACATGGTCCTGATTCAAGCGCAGCATGCGATTCGTCTCCCACATGTACAACCCGGAGATGATAACTTCCTGCACACAGAAACCTGTCAACTGCAGCTTCTCCATGACATCGTACCCCGCAACCGAGGCTGCTGAACTGGAAAAGTTGGCTGCGTAGGTGAGCACGGTTGTGGGCACGTGCAGGAGAAAAATATTCGTGATGATCATGGTTCTCACCATGCGCAGAACGCGCATGTTCTGGATCACCAGATGGAGACGCGAATACAGCACGAACGATTGGCCGGTTACCATCGTCCACCAGCCGATTGTTAACAGCGTGACAGGCACCCAGGTTGCGGACGTTAGACCGAAGAATTTGAGCAGATAGCCGATCGAATACGGCAAGATTCCAACGCTGGCTATCAGCATGCTCCAAAAATATGGGCCTTCATAGCGTTTGAAGGTTAGGAAGATGAGCACGACTAGCTCGATGACGTTGTACCACGCGACACCGATAAATGTTGCAATCGTAATACGGACACCAATGCTATCACCAGTGTAGCTACCGGTGATCCAGTTCCCTGGGCTGGAGTCGCTGAGTGAGGCCATATCCTCATTGGGAAGATCTGATATGGGAAGAAGAGAACACACGGACGTGTGTTTTTTTTTGGGCGCGGGGTTCCCCTAAATTTATTTCGCTGATTTTCCCGGCCCCAAGGGGTGCCAAGTGGGCCAAGTGTTAAATAGTTTTGGGATTTATTTAGATCAACAATTCTGAGATATCCACTTGCCGTGTCTCGATGCTAGGGGGGTTACAAAATATATGTGTATGGGAATTTATCTGCTTTTATATAGCCTTAGAATGTATATGGTACTGTTCAGGGTATGGTCACGAAGTGGCTTGGTGCTTATTATATGCCCAGACTATACGCCCAGATTATACGCCCAGGTGCTTATATTAGTTATATGCTTGTTAGATGCTTAGATCTTCCCAGAAATTCAATACTCATTTCACTCATAAAAAGTACCCAAATTATATGAATGCGGATGTTCATCGTTCAGAGGAACTGGTTATCAGAAGAACATGCCGAAGTCTTTCAAAGTATCCTGGAAAGCAAATATAAATATCAATCATGTTAAATATCCCATCTGTACACGTCGTTATTTAAAATATCTGCTTGTTCAAGCCATCATTTAAGGCGATTTCATTCCAAAAGTCTTCTTGAGCGAATCCTCCAGCCCAGAACCACTCGTCAAAATCAAAATTCAAGTCTAGAGCCTCTGCGACATTTCCCACTTGTTGCTCTGCCAGCTCGTCCTTCGGACCCTCGATAGGTGGCATGGGGCTCCCTGCCGTTGTTGCTGGCGTCAAGAGTCTCGTCGCGTCACCGATACCAGAGCCAACTGTGCTGGGAGATTGAACTGAGCTTTCCGTCTTGCCCTCGCTTACCTCCCTCTCAAATTCTATCATGTAGGCTCCTAGCGTAAGCCCCATCGTTCTCTTAAACACGCGGCAAAGATAACTCGGCGTTACACCGACCTCTTGTGCTAACTCCTTCAAGCCTCGCTTCATTATCAGATCCTGATCATCCCACTTGGTCCGTAACAGCGCTAGAACCCTTGTGACAACTTCCTCTCTGTCTCCAACAAAGCTCGCATTATCTGGTTGACATCTCTTACACGGCCGGTGACCATCGCGCCGCGCTTGGTCTTCTGTGTCGTAAAATACAACATTGGCTCTTCGAGCCAGGCGTGCAGGACAGGTCGGGCGGCAGTAGATCTTGGTAGATTTGACGCCGTAGAGAAATGAGGAATGGGAGGAAGGGGTGCGGTGTGTGAGGGCGCGCCAACGAGCATGGGAACTTTGGAACTGATCGGAACTGATCGATCTAGAAGGTTGTATTTGCATGTTGATAGGGTTATTTGTGAATGTAGGGATATGATGTTAGTGAACAGTTTCCCCTGAAATACTTAAAATTCTCCGGGGAATTCATTGAATGCGGAGGTGGTGGCGTACCGCATTTGGCATGGAGACTCACCGCCCGGAAATAAACCTGCATATCCCCTGAAGTCATGGAATATGTGGAAGGGCAAAATGATGTATGTGGCTCTGTGATATAGCTGACACATATCATTAGTGATTTGATCCTGAATATTTAATTGGACCTGGGGATATGCGTATGTATGGGCTAGTATTGAGGGAAGCATGTTGATCGATTACATCGATGTTGTATAGAGATGGATAAAATTCCCGATTTCAACTTGGCTAGATTTAATTAAAGAGAAACCTCCTATCTCTCGCATCCAAATTGTGTAGATAGCATGCAATCTGGTCTACGTGCAAGAGACCCTTTTGTTGCTTAAGTTTATTAGACCTCGAGCAGCCGTCCAACTATTAGTAGCAGAAAGGGGAAGTTAGCGTATTGGTTTATTTCGCCTTTTTTTGTTTTCAAACTCTGACCTACATAAAAATCAAGGAGAGACTAATATTCTTGATTTCCAGAATTGACCTGCTAGTGGGTTAGTCTCTAGAGTCTACAAGATCAACAAATTTAAGGTATACTATTAAAGGAGGCTCTGGGCCAAATGCTATACCTAATCTGGCTGAAGTGTTATCACGGGTACCTTACATTATGATTAACAGCACAAAGTTAGACCGGATGATAATCCATGTATGTTCTGGGGTCAGAAATATTAAATGAATAGCGGGTTCACTGTGCCAATATGCCCCTAAAACATTCTTCGACGTGGTTTTCCATCTTGTGCTGTCTAGAAGCTGCTCTACTGGCTTCACTTATATTTCCATATAAAGATGTTTATGGATCAAAATTAGCAAGACAAAGTATACTAGTGCATCAGTATGCTCAATTAAAGCAGTTCCGTGTGTTGCATCAAAACATTTCAAGTCCAAGTATATGAGTATCATGGTTAAATCTTTGAAACGTCAAAAGCCTAGTATTTTACCACTTTATCTTCCAGTCCGTTCCTTTCACTTTGATCCTGACCCATAGAAAAGATAAAAACGCGCCGACGTAGCTGAGTCCAGCAAAAAGAGCGACTCCCCAATACTTCTCTTTTCCTGTAGCCTCCACCGCATCGAGAAGACCCCCGGCAATTGGGATACTTGCCAGTACCCCAAAAGATACTACCGTGAAACAGCTCGCGTAATATCGTCCGTATTCCTGAGTTTCGCAAAGCTGACCTAAGCATATTGGTGTCAAGCTAACATTTGAACCGCTGCAGAAACCGAATAGTAGTATAAAGACCACCAGGAGTGCGTAGGAATCCAGGTTTGGTGCGAGGATATCTGGTAACCAGAAACCTAGAACTGATACTGTGCAGAAGAATAACGAGACAATCATCGTATTGTATCGGCCAAATCGATCCGCCATGTCGCCCGCGACGTATCGGCCAACGCATGAAGCGGCATTGAGAATCGCGAGAAGCTGGTATGCAAATGCCGACGATCCCGATAGTGCATCCTCGTCGGGTAGATGCTGTCGATCGATATAGTAGCGTGGTATGTACGTAATCGGGATGAAGTACGCCAAATCCGTTAAAAGGACTCCGGCGGTTGTGAGTGTCATGGCTCCCGTCCCATCCAGGAAGATTTTATAATCCGGCAATGTATCTCGCCAAGTTGTCTCCGGTCCTTTGCGGGGAGGGATTCTGCTTCGGCAGAATGCCACGCTGATAGTGCAAAGTACAAGCAGCACAAATCCGAGGATCCGGATCGACCATCCCCAGCCAACTTGAGGGAGGAGTGATTGTATCATCAGGGGGAAAAGCACGCCACCAAAACCACCTCCAATGAATGCTATACCACTAGCAAGACCGCGACGCTCCATGAACCAATGAGCGACACAGCCCATTGATGGTGTCAGGAGAAGGGATGAGCCGATACCGGTCATGATGGAAAATGACATGAAGATCTGGTAGTATTCTATATCGTCATTAGCTAGGGAACGTCGGTATCGGTAGAGTGTATGAACATGAACGATTGCATGTGGTATAATATGAGAACCGATCTTACCTGTCGAGACACTGAGGGTGAAAATGCCAATCAGCGTGCAGATAGTCCCCGCAATTATCAGTGCACGCGGGCCCATTGCATCAAAGGTCGGTCCTATCTGTACTCCACAGACCCAGTTCACGAAGGCGTAGACTGAGAATATCCAGCCAAGGGTAGATGATGAAGCCTCCGGTAATATCACTTTAGATATCACGACCTCGAACACACCGCATGTGTTGTAGATACCCAGAGATGAGGTCAAGCCACACCACGCACCCAATACCACCATCCAGGCATCATGACCACCCTCGGGATAAGTGATCTCAATGTTGAGAGGTGGCAGGTCGGGTGTTGTGGGGAGCTGTGGCGATGATTTTTCGACATCGGAAGGAGGAGAGTACTCGCTGTCAGAGAGCATCTCCTTTTTATACGAGGCATCCGAGGCGTTCATCGGGGATGAACTGCGTTCGGACCTTGGCGATATCATCTCGGGGTGTTTCATTTTTCACGTCTTGGAATCATCTGTAGAGATGAAGGAGAGAAGGCGATTGTTTGCTGTACTAGTGGATTCGGGATTCTTGGAAGTTTTATAGCTAGGCTTCTTCTTAATACTATTGCCACGGGGTATGACGACAGAGACCATGAACAAGAATTTGATTGAGAAGAGCCGTTAAGAAAAAAACAAAGCATGATATTTTATACCCTGCCAGTATGTCCTGAATGTGTCCAATCAGCAGTAGGGAATGAAATTGTATCCATAGTGACCAATTAGAGGGAAAGACTGGAGGTGTACTCGAAATAACCAATTAGTCTGTCTCGGGCTAGGTACAGGAACTGGAACTCAATCTCTCTGAAAACGGCGAGATCAAGTTAATTCTAATGGCGATTTATTGCAAATACACAGCACGATAAAAACTCTAGTGATCTCAGATACTTGATTTTTGAATCAGCCTTTGCACTTTCTTGACCAAGTAGTTAACCATGAAATAGTTCATTAGATCCTCCAAGTCAATGTGTTCTCAAATTGACCAATCAGCGGTGAATGACCCGAGCTATGAACACATAATGGCCAATCAGAGTTAGGCAAGGGTTATATAAGGTACTCAAAGTAGCCAATCACCGGTAGTGTCAGTGAGCTAGAGTGGATACATATACCATACTACATTAATCTACTACCATGCTACACCATTAAGACGAGAGAGTTATAGATTTTTTATTATCAAAGCATAGCTATAAACACAAATTGTGCTTCTGCCTGAAATCCACTGAAAATCACATTTTCTCGTTGCAAACAGCGAGACTGGATTGTCGTAAAAGAAATTAACATTCTCACCCATTTCCAATACGTGCATGTTGCATATCAGCGGGGCTTTATTTGGACTCTTCAAAAGGCTAGATACTAAGTTGGCAATAGATCCCGTTCTGCATATCCTGTAAGCCAATACGACACCCCACGGTGCCCTGTTGCATTGACCGCCCATGAAGAAACTTTCTACGGGGTTGTAAGCAAGCCGTTGGTAAGGGAGTAAGTAGTAGGGGACTTGTCAATTGACCACTTTTGGTACATCCCATGCGTGCGGGATTGATCGAGTGATCTATATAGAGCTGAAGACTCGCTGTTTATCAGTTATTTGGAGTACATAATATTATGCATGACTCCAATTAGTCACTGTAAAATCAGAATATTGTCACTGGTCACTAACTGTTTTCAGTATTACAATTATGTCTAAATTTGATCTCATATACATTTAAGATTCTGTTCTGATATTTTGCGTATACAGGGCTTAGCTTTGATTAGACAATATAAGTTCACAACCCTGTGATTTGCTACTGGGGCAATTCTAGTGCATGTTTCCTATGTGTTTACTTCAATTGTTAAACTTAATTTCCATGTGGCACATGATGTAAGGACCTTGAAATTTATAGTGTTTCGACATGGATATATCAATTAACCAATAAAATACCTCTATACAGAAGAAACAAATATGTATCGCTAGTTACTTCCGGGGTATATCCTTAAAATGCACTTCGTATAAGGGCTTGGCCACATCTTAACAGTGTAATACAACCTGGAAAGTACCAAGCTGACGGCATAGCCGGGACTATGACTGGAAGGAGAGATTCATCTGACCTAGAAGGTCCTAACAAACAGGGACTCCGGCAGCCATGTCCCCAACGATGCATGCCGAGCCAAAATGAGAAATTGTTAGTTTATTTCTACAAGGACAACATTGGCGGTGTGGAATAAGCGGTTATCTACATTCACACGGTACTAACCATACCATACACCTTTCGAAGGGATTATAGCGTATCCTCAATGGAATTTGCCACTGATTAGTAGAATGTTGGCTCCAATTGAGTTCTTGCGTACTCCATACTATTCGTTTACTGTGATATCTGAGGGATATGACATCAGGCTAGAATATATGACAATACCAAACGAAAATACTATATTGTAGATCAGAGTAAATTAAAGGAGCTCTCCCGGACTTAAAGTGGCGGAGTATCACCAAACACGCTGTCCATCATCCTGAAATATTATTAGCAACCCGTCAACATCAATTACAAGGACAAACTCACATAGCAGGATACCGTGTTCCAGGGATCTCAGTCCTCTCGATCAATGCCCGGATATCTTGCAGCTCCATATCCGTCAAATGAAGAGAGACGGAATTGGTATTCTCATCAAGATTGTTGATCGACTTTGTACCGGGAATAGGAATGATGTCAGAGCCCTGGGCAAGAAGCCATGCGATGGCAACCTGGGCAGGAGTGCTGCCGTGGTTATTGGCAACATCCTTCAACCCCTGAACCAGTTCAAGGATTTTTGGGAAGTGTTCCTGTGCATACTTGGGTAGCATGCGGCGGAAATCATTTTCGGGAATATCGGAGAACGATTGAATCTGACCAGTCAGAACGCCTCGGCCAACAGGACTATAGGCAACGACGGCGATACCAAGTTCGCGACAGGTACTCAAAATCTCGGTGGTAGACGATTCAATGTCCACAGCGAATGGACTGTATTCAACTTGATATGCGGCAATAGGGTGGACAGCATGGGCACGGCGCAGAGTTGCAGCAGAGCATTCAGATAATCCAAGATGGTTGATCTTGCCTTGCCTAATAGTGTATTAATGACAGAGCCTCTTGATCCGAAGGGGTATGACTTACTTCTTCAGCTCAACCATAGCCTCGATGGTCTTTTCAATAGGCGTCACACCATCAACTCGATGGCAGTAGTAAAGATCAATTGTTTCAACCCCGAGCTTCTTCAGACTTTTCTCACAAGCAACCTTGATATACTCGGGGTCAGAGCGGACTGTCTGAATACCCGTGGCGACGTCAAATTGGATCGCAAACTTGGTGGCTAGGAATATATCCTTGCGGTTTCCTGACTTCTTCACCCACTCTCCCACTGCGTCTTCACTGTCAAAATATAGGTCGGCTGTATCCCAGAATCGCGCACCGATCGCATGGGCATGCTCGAGGAAGGCTACCTTGTCTTCGAGAGAACCGGCAGATCCATAGATACTGCCGAGACTCATGAGCCCAAGACCAATAGCTGGAACTTGAGGGCCATCACGGCCAAGAGATCGAGTTGGAAGATACATGGCTGGGTAATATCAAAGAGAATCCGAGGCAGCAGATGTGAACAGTAGAAGTAGAAACTTGAGGATTGTAGTGAAAGAAAAGCATAGGTATCAACAGAACTATTTATATTTTCACACGGCTAGTTTCTTCAATCCTAACACCAAATATCATTGAATCCCTCTATTAGTGCCCATTACAAAGGGCGTCATCCGCATCCAAATGGATATATAGATGGGTCTTTTAATAACCAGCCAACCAAAACACTTCAAAAGCGAGCTCACCAATCAGGTCCTAGCGCAGTTAAATATTAACTCCGATCGTCTGCCAAGGACCTCGGAAGCCACTTGTGTATTCCCGGAGAGAGATTATGTTCTCTGATTCCTCAACTGCTGATATGCACGGCCACGTCCCATTAACCCGCAAAAAGGCCAAAACAGGCTGCAAGACCTGCAAGTAAGTATATGCCCATCCTCAATCTAGCACTCCCTAACTAAATCAAGAATCCGCCGGGTCAAATGTGACGAAGGCCGACCAGCTTGCCGACGCTGTGTATCAACCAGCCGAGTCTGCGACGGCTATGGCATCTGGGGAGGAGGCGGAACTCCCTACGGGCAGCCATATAGCAACCGTGCTCTCTCAACCTACTGCACACCGGTTCCAGTCGGCGACCTCAGCCACGAGGAACAGCTGTGCTTCGACTGGCTGATCAAACGAACCGCAAAGAAATTCTCCGGTTTATTTCCATCTGACTTCTGGGAGTCCTTGATTTTTCAAGCTAGCGCGCAGGAACCCGCTGTGTGCCACGCTGTCATTGCCTTGTCGTCTACGCATCGGTTCCAGCAGCAATATGCCGCTGTGTTAAATAAATACGATGAAGAATGCTTCACTCTTCGGCAATATAACAAAGCAATTCAACACCTACGCACCAATGTAACCAACAATAGCTACTCTCTCCGAGTAGCGCTGATTACATGCATGCTCTTTATCACCTTAGAATACATGCGCGGGCAGTATCAGATGGCGGGCGCACATCTCCAATATGGCATGAAACTTCTCTCCGATATATCCGCACCAAGTCCTCCGTCATCCATGGTGCCGACTACTCTGCCCCCTGAAGAAGACTTTGCATACAATGCCTTAGTCGACGTCTATGTCCGATTGGGCATTCAATCAGCCATGTTCGGCCACGTGCCTTCACACCTGTATATTGTAACCAAAGACCCGCTATCCACCAGTCTTCCTTATACATTCAGCTCGCTCCTAGAAGCAAGACGCACCCTAGATGATCTGCTGAACAGAGTCCACTGTCTAAAAAAGCAATACCTCGACCACCACGCATCCCAGACACCAACCAGCCAGCAACAAATGCTCAACACACAAAGCAGAATTCTCGCAGACCTATCTCTCTGGGGCAAAACATACAAAGTCTCAATCGCACGCCTCGAAGTCAACAAGATATCAGGGAAACACCACATCGGCTACCTCCTCCTACGAGTACACTACGAAATGGCGGCAATAATGGCCTCAGTCTGCCTCTCACCAGAAGGATCCGAATCCGAGATGATCTTTGACTCTTACACCGAGAACTTCATCAGAATAATGTCCAGTTTCCTCGACATATGGAGAATCTGGACAGCAACAGTCTTCGTCGAAGAAGACCTCTTGAAGCTAGCTAACGCGCCCGAAGACCTGAAAGCCATCTTCCAAAACTTCAAGACAATGTCAGACATGAACACGATCCTGGAAGCTTCTCTACTAGAACTCCTCGAAAAGTCCTCCATACTCAACCAATACCTGAAGGCACCGGACTGTGGCAGAAACGGGTTCACCGTTGAGATGGGGTACATCCCACCTATATACTATACGGCTCTTAAATGTCGTGTTCCGCGGCTCCGGCGCCAGGCTGTGAGGGCGTTGAGGGCTGCGCCGCATCGGGAGGGGTTATGGAATGGTTCCCTTTTGGCGGATGTTTTAGAGGAGATTATTAGGGTTGAAGAGGGAAATTTTTATGCTGGTAATGTGTGTATTAATTCGGATGTTGGGCATATCCTGCCTAAGGCTGAGGATTTGCTTGTGCCGAAGGTACCGGCCGAGGCGAGAGTCTCAGATGTTAGGGTTCTTCTGCCGGACGATATCTCTGGGCATACTTATGTTACCTATCGGAGGCTTGTAGGTGGTGAGTGGGTGACTTTTAAGCGGAAGATTGGTGTATAGTTGGTGCGGTAGACATTGGAACGATGATGTGTGTATGTAGCCTGCGCCTAGGTGCCGTTTATAGGTCGAATGGAAGGTTTGGAGGTATGGATAGCAGGTCCTGGGCTTTCTTTCCATTAGAAATCAACTGCATTCTCTTTTGATCATAATTTTCTTTCGTTGTTTATTGTACAATTTTTATATCACAGCCGTGTAAACGCCCATGGGTCATGATTTCGTAAGATGCCTTCCAGTATCCATAACACCCCACAGACCTTGTTTCCTGCGCTTCCACATTCATAATGACTGAAGTCGTATGCCTTGCATAACTATGTTACTTCCCGCCTACCTTTTGACTCCGCAAAAATGCAGCCACCTGCTCATGCCTTGTGACAAAAAACATACGCTTCCGATCTGATTTCCAAACCAACACGCCAATCTCCGCGGCATACTGGCAAGGAGCCTGGTATTCGGTCAAGGTGGTGAAATCCTTGAACAAAAAGCCTGCCGTGGCCCGGAGACGGTCCCGCTCCAGCTGCCACAGTCTGATCTGATCTGTCACGGTAGGCGGGAGCACAGATGCCGGGACACCCTTGCCGCTGGATTGGGCAGCACTGTGTTTCCGCAGCTGTGGGTGCGCGTGCGATAATAGGTATGAGATGATTTGATCGGCAGTGATTCCCATCTCGATGGCTCGGCGAACAGACTGTCTGGTAATTTTGCCGGTGACTAGATTGGGGAAGCGGTATTTGAGGTTTGTGAAGAGGGAGATGAGGGATATTTGTAGGGGTGACGAGGTGTAGGCATAGAGTCGGTAGTTGGTTTCGATGATGATGAACCCGGAGCCAGCGCCACCAGATGGCCCCGCTGGGCCAGTGAGGGACCCCGTGACAGGGTTGCTCAGGGCGCTCGAGTCGGATGTAAGTGTAGTTGCAAGACGCGTGGGATAAAAGCGCGTCGCGTCGGCGTCTTCCTGGTAGACAATACCAAAATCGGCGAGGTCCGTGAGAGTGCGAAGTTGGTTGGGTGTCATGTGGCTCTTGTCGTAAGATGATCCAAGTTCCAGGCTGCTCAGGAGGAACAGGAATGAGAGAACCTCGACACTGTCCATTCCGATGGCCTCGGCGCTCTCGACATAAAGAATCAAGATATGCCAGACCTGCGTGTTCACGTCCTGGAGTACAAATCCGAATCCGTCTTTGGTGATGTCGACACGGTTGCCTCGGATTTCAACTAGGTGTCCCGCTTGAAGAAGCTGTTTGACACCCTTGCTCAAATTGACCGCATCGCGCTGTCCACTCAAGGCACTCGTTCCAACCATGTAGCCCATAACACCCTCCCACTGTCGTCTAGCATATTCGTCCAAATCGGCGATTGAGGTCAGGGTGTGTTCTGGAGCTTGAGAAAATACACCGAAAGAGTGAGAGTCCTCGGCGCCCATCAGAGCTTGTCGAAGCGAAGCAGCGAATGGGTTGGTGACCATGTATGCGCGGACATTTTCACTTGTGAGGGTCGTAGATAGAATGTGAAGTCGACCCAATATTGAAAGCGCATTATCCCGTTCCCTTGTGTCAATACGATCAGTAGATGACTGGAGCTAGACCCATCAGATAAGCCACTCACTTCTTGCTCTCTGAGTTGACCCAAACTTCTAGGTCAGCTGTTGGGAGAGGGTCTTTTAGATAGATTAGAGCCATCACAAAGCATTTTGCTATATTCACTGTTAGCACAACGTTTCGTTCCATGTGAATACGCTCAATGTACCTAGATCAGGCAGCATGCGCCGGAAGATCGCGAGGGCTGTGGACGGCTGCTGGTATAGTTTATAAAAAGTCGTCCCGGGAAGTCCCTCCAGGTACTCCAGGGGACGGGATGTTGCACTTGCCATGGTGAGCTGTGAGAAACCAAGTTCTCAAGCAACTGAGGAAAATAAGGTGCCTAGGTGAAGTGGTTGAGTGAAATGACGCTGGTACGGTGGCCGAAGCGGCTGTAAAGTGCAGCTCCGGGATGCTCCCGAATCGCCGGGTCAAGTACGTTGGATTTGTTTAACCCTCCTTATATCATTCCATTTTCAAGACATTTGTCACTTTTGAGATATGGCTTCTCTGAAATTTGTTCGCTCGGTAATTCTAAGGGCCTTCATCCCCTGACATTCACTATTTTACTAATGCATACGCTATCTATAGGTGTGGGAGTCCTTCCGAGCTACCTCGGGTCTGGAGCCGCGGTATGGAACACGTCCCAACTTGCTTCTATATTTGAAATATTAGAGAAAAACTAACATCTCACTTCGATTTGGCTGCAGGTTGTTGAATAATGTAAGACTGAGTCAGTTTCCTAATATTTACATTGAAGGTGTCACTGATATCTACTATAGCTCCGTGTTACAGCAGCCAGGCCTGGTGTGGTCAACTTTGAGCTGGATATTCAGAAGGAGCATACAGTATGTCTCTTTCTGCTTGCAGTGTCTCCCACAGGCATCTTCGGGGATCTTCTTAAACCCCCAGCTTCTCACACGGAACGTTTGTCTCTGACATCTATATTATTTAGAACCGCCTGAATATCCTCCATGGAGGCACCATTGCGAGCATGGGTAAGAGACCCTTGTACATGAATAAAAGCTGTGATACTTGGCTAAAATCTGCTCTAGTGGACCTCGGAGGCTCGTTGGCTGTGGCGTCTCGTGGCTTGTTTGCGACGGGTGTATCAACGGACCTGAATGGTAAGTCTATAAAATAGGTATCAAATCTGAATTCGCGGTTTCTAATCAAATCTTCTCAAGTCACGTACTTGAATTCAGGTGGCAAAGTTGGTGACCGAATCTTGG